GGGGGGGGGGGGGTGTGGCAGTGGGAGATTGCTGTATACAAGACTAACAGCCACATGTGCTCCTAGATGGAACGCTGACCTTGTCCTGTACTGCCTGCAGCCACTTCCCCCACTTCAGCATCCTCTACTGGCTGGGTAATGGTTCTTTCATTGAGCACCTCCCAGGCCAGCTGAGGGAGGGTCGTATCAGGTGAGGGGTCTTAAGAGTAAGGGTAGTAGGAGGGAGGCCTCTCTGCCCACCTCTGACTTTGTTCTGCTCTAGCCGAGAGCACGGGCGCACAAGCACCTGGCTGCAGAGGGCCTTGGTACTGGAGGAACTGAGCCCCACTCTACGAAGCACCAACTTCTCCTGTGTGTTTACGGACCCTGGACAGGTGGCCCAGCATCACATCGTGCTGGCCCAGCTCTGGATGAAGAACCAGAAGGCAGGCATTCAGGAATAGGAGCTCTGCTATCAGGGAAAGGGTGGGCTATGCCAGGGCGGCATCCAAGCTAATGCCCACCATTCCCAGAGGTCAAAACAAGGAACTTAGGACAGATTTGGAGGGTTGAGGGAGAAAGCCTAGAGGAAAGGGACCAGGCATTTCCTCTTAACTCTGTGTCTTCACTTCCCCAGGATGGGCTGAGGACAATCCTGTCTGCCTCTCAAGAAACCTTCCCCTCCAGCCACAGCTCGGGACCGACATCAGCAGGGCCAGGAGTTGGCACAAAGCCAACAATCGAATAGCCTTGACCAGAGCTCAGCTCCTATCTGTGTGGAGGGTGATGTACATGGAGGGTGAAGTTTCTGCCGTAGGCTCTGCAGGGGAATGGCTGATTCTTGCAGCCACCTGTCTACCCACCTCCTCAAGCTCAAGCTTCTTTCTTGTCCACCCAGAACGTCTCAGTAACTAAGCCCTTAGAATTCCTCCTGCCTGTCCTGTCTTACTCCCCATAAACTTTTCTGATGTCCTATTCATCCCACTGCTATTCTGCTCAGGAACCTGAGAACTGGCAGCATCTTAGCCAAGCCACCGCCCTGCCCACACTCTCAACATGACTTTCTAGAGGCCTGTCAGGCTTCTGCTCACTTGGGTCACCATTCTTACCAAGCCAGCAGGTGAACCCTGAAGCCTGGCTGAAATGTCACCTCACCAGTGACCTCTACACTGAGCTCTGTCCATGTTCAGCATTGACTTCATATTGCATGTAACTAATTTTTGTTTTCTCTGCTCACTGCAAACAGCAGTGTCCTGTCTCAAGGAACGGATCGGGCAGTGCTGCTTCAGATCATATCTTTTTGTCACTCTGGGCAGGACCCAAAAGTTGTCATAAAGGATTGTTCAATGGGAGTATCTCCGCCTCTGCTCAGTTTCTTAGGTCCTAGTTCTATCCACAGAAACTGTGTCCTGAAAAAGAAAAGAAATCGGCCCATAATACTAGTCAGGACAGACGTCAGAAATGAAGTGTGGGATTCTGGACAACGTGATTCCAGGAGGGAGAGATGAGAGAAGGGAGGTGGTTTAAATACTGGGCAGGAGCAAAGGCAGGCTCCAAAGAAGTTTCCCTAAGTTCCCATGCCAACCAAAACAGCTCAGCACTCGAGGGAGAAAAATAGACTTTATTTACAAGTAATAACATTTAGAAAAAAATCCATCCCCGGCCCTTCAAAACCTTCCCATCATTTCAAATCCCACCCCAGTGCAAGTCTGGGGAAGGTGAGGTGTGAGCTGCCGTTGAAGACTGCCCCCTACCCCACCCCTGAGACCCAGGACCCATTTGTCCTGGAAAAGAGCATCCATCCTCCAGGCAGCTGTGCCCTTGGGTGGATGGGAACAGATAGAGCAGAGGCTCCCACCAGGTAATGCCCAGTCCTGGGCTTCAAGAGCAAGGGCCCCTGCTAGGCCCAGCCACCAGGAATAGCAGGAACCAAGGCCTGCTTCTCCAATGGTCCCTTCTAGATCCAGAGGCTAAGGAAGACTGGGCTCAAAAAGCCAGTCACAAAAAGCCAGCCTCAAATCTGGTTATGATGGAGAAGTGGATTTTGCTCCAAGAAAAAAAATTCAGGAGGCAAGAGAGGGAGAAGACCGACACTGTCTAAGCTCCAAGCCTCTCAGGCCAGCTCTGAGAAGGTGCCTAGAAGGCACCAGTGAAGTCCAGGTACCAGGCCAGGGTGCAGGCAGGCATCACTGTCTGGGGGACTGGCCACCATTGGCCTGAGAGCCGAGAGAAGGCACTGAGAGGGACAGTAGAAGGAAAAGGACCAGGCAAGGTCAGCGCTGGGGATACAGGTAGGGCCACGCACTGGTACTGGCTCTTTAATGCTTTGCCTGAAAGAGAGAGAGTCACATGGCCAGATTGTCTTATGCTGCCAGTGTCTGCTAGCTGGCTCAGAAGACCCCTGACTGGGACGCTTTTCCTTTGTGAGCCCTAGACACCTGCCTTCTGGTTACCAGTTGCTGGCCATACCTAAGAAACTTGGAGTGATCAGTGCTTTTCTCCAGTAATGAACTGCTAACCAGGATTGGGGTACCCTCCCCCCTCCAGTGGCCTAGCCTGGCCCTGCCTTGGATGCTGCCCTAAGGGGACAGTCTAGGGGGCACTCATGTTTTCACTGGGTTTCCCTTCTCTCCCAGTGCTTCTCTACCTTGCCCTTGGTCCGAGGGGTGGCAGCAGCAGATGTAGCGCTGGCTGTGGTGGTAGCGATGCGTGGAGAGCGGCGGGTTCCACTGCGGGTACCAGGGGAGGCCTTCGCTGGGGTCTTCTTTGAAATGCCTCGCCGCAGAAGACTATTCCCCAGCTTCTTGGGTGTGTTAAGGATGCTGAAGGCCATTGATTGGCGCCGGTCAGCCTGTGAGGGAAGGTCTGTCAACTGAGAGATCTTTCCAGGTCAGCTCGCTGCTCTGGAGCTCTGCCAGCAAGGCCTCACTTGGCCTTCCTTCCCTACTTCAGTCCCAGCCAAACCTGTTTAAGAACAGCTGGAGCTGCTTTCTTCTGGGCTTCAGTGGTGCTTTGTTTGCGCCCTTCATGTCGGTCCCGGGGAGTCATGGGGCGTGGGAAACAGCTGGTAGCCTTCTTGGACTGTGAGGCAAAAGAATTAGACAGACAAAGCCAAGAGGACATCACATTCAAAACCAGGGATCTTGGCCTCTCAGAGCTGAGTGGATCTCCATCAACCTGTTCCCCTCCCCAACAGCCTCATCTGTCCTTGGAGAGAAACACTTCCCCTCTAATTCACAATTTAGACTTGCTGCATTAGACCTGATATGGCCACAGTGCCAAAGAGAACAAAACACAGAAGCAACCACCACCTACCTCAGGGGTGCCAGGGCCCTGGTGGGTCTCTAAGGAGACCCGTTTGCGCTGCTGGCGGGTGGTAATGCCAGCACCCTCAGCAATCTGGGTTGGCTGCATGCTGGCTCGGCGCAGGGTCTCCCGAGGATCTCCGGTTTTCATCTCCTCATCGGTGATGGTGGCCAGGCTTAGGGAAGGCTGCACGGGTGGAGGCAGCAGTATCTTTAAAAAACCCTCTCTTCCTGTTTTCCACCTATATCCTCATGAATGGCCAGTAGTCCTGAGTAGATGTCTCTTTGGGCCCCAGCCCACTGTGACACTCCTGAGTGCTAGCTGCCATTCCACCTGGAAGCATGAGATCACCTTCCCTCGCAGACCAGAGGCCCAGGGCTCCAATACTCAGGCTAAACTAGTAAATCACAGGTGGCACTTAAGAAAGTGTACAAAAACTAACCACAAACTAGAGTCATCTGAGAAGGAACCACAGTTGAGGATTGGCCTTTGGGCATGTCTGTGGGGCATTTTCTTGATTGCTAATTTATGTGTGAGGGTTCAGCCCACTGTGAACAGTGCTGTCCCTGAGCAGGTGGGCCTGGGCTGTATAAAAAAGGTAGATGAGGGGCTGGAGAGATGGCTCAGCGGTTAAGAACACTAGTTGTTCTTGCAGAAGACCCAAGTTCAAATCCCAGCACCCACATGGCAGCTAACAACTGTCCGTAATTCCAGTTCCAGAGGATCCAACACCCTCTTCAGACCTCCATGGCATTGCACGACATGGGTTCACTCACATACATGCAGGCAATACACGCATACACACAAAATAAAAATTTTTAAAAAGGTAGATGAACAAGCCAGTGGAAGCAAGCCAGTAAGCAGTGTTCCTCCATGGGTTCTGCTTCAGTTTCTGCCTCCAGGTTCCCAGCTTAGGTCCTGCCTGACTTCTCTCATGGATGGACTGTGACCTGGGAGTTACAAACTGAAATAAACCCTTTCTTCCCCAAGTTGTTTTTAATTGTGGTTTTAGCACAGCAACAGAAGCAAACTAGGACAGAAGCTGAGAGAGAAGGAATGCCAGTATGGGAGGTCTTTCAGTAACCCCAGGTCTCACCCTGGACTCCAGAGGATAGCAGGTCTTCAAGTGCGGGGGGCATACTCTGTTGCGCTGCTGCAACTCTGCAATGCGGTTCCAGTCGTCCAGCTGCTCAGGCTCATCCTGACAAGTGCCCATGTAGAAGCTGTTCCTTCCTATGAAGCACAATAGTGAACAGGGCTGCAGTTACACATCATCTACTAATCTGACCAGACTAACTCTTCTAGAGCCTCTTAAAAAGGAGATTGGAGGACTCCGACAAGTATCATTACATGAAACCTCAAGCTAAAGTTAGGTGAGCATCTCTGGTTCAGACTGCTTTGGGTGCAGCAGCTCTAGATGGACAGGCAAGGCCGAGACTGCAAGAACTCCGGAGAGATGGTGGTGTTGGTACAGAAAGGTAGCAAAGGAGGCTAGCCTTGGAGAGAGATGGCTCAGCCATTAAGGGTACTAGCTGTTCTTGTAGAGGATCTGGGTCCAAATAACCATCTCTAACTCCAGTTCTAGAAGATCCGGTGACCTCTTTTGGTTTCTGGTGGCACTGCACACACATGGTGCACTCACATACATGTAGGCAAAACACTCACATATAAAAAAATTCAGGAGAAAAGAGGCTAGCCTTGAGCTTCTGAAAGCTTGCTTCTTCCCTGTGCCAGGGTTTACCTTGTGGGGCCCCACTGGACACCCTGGCCTGGGAGCGACGAGTAGAGCTTCGAGTGGTAGGCCGATAGCCAGGCAGACTAAGCAGAGCTGAGTTGCCGTCATCAGGAGAACCCAGACGGGCCAGAGACTGGGTAGAAGAGGTGGCTCGCAGGACAGCCTGGGAAGCAGGGGCAGACTGCGTGCTATAGAAGGATGAGTTAGCACTGTCTGGCTCCTCCATATCTAGCTTCTAGGAGAAAGAATGAATCATTCACACTATGAAGCCACCACCATCTTCTGTCCCCTGAGCTCCCAGATGTCTATGTTCCCACACTGCTTTTAAAAACTCCTTAGATTGCATGTGTGCAAATAGGCCTCACTACCAGAAGCCCTCATGAGATGATGAAGTTGCCAAGACTCACAAAACCTATTAAAAATACCTGGAGGGAGGGAAGGAGATGCTTGCTATCAGCCCATTTCAGAGGTTAGAAGATGAGTAAGCCCCCCAATCAAACAGCTAGGAAGTGGCTGGGCTAAGAGCTAGAACCCACACCTCCTGAGCTATCTTGTGGGGCTCAGCCTATAACCTCTGCCATCTCTCCATCCCAGGTTCCTGGAGTCCAAACATCTAGAATTTCCCCAGATTCTTGGTAGTAGAAAGCTTACCAAAGGCACCTGTTTCCCAATCTCCTGGAAACAGAAATAAAGGCAAGAACCCAGAGTCAAGCAGTAGCAGTCCACTACGAACCATGCCATGCTACATCTCAGCCATACAGGGGTCCAGAGGCTCAGGCTGAGCTGTAATGTCTCCTATTATCTGCCTGGGCTACAAAAGGGATAGACACACTAGCCTTCCAGTCAGGTAGGTCCCGTCCTTTCTATATAAGAGGCCCTAAGCAAGTTACTCCCTTTCTCAAGAGCTCAGCTTTCCCATTTGTACCTTATGGATTTGGTCATCCCTGCCTGCTCCTGACTGAGGACCCTTGGAGAGGAAATGGCATTTCTACCTTGCAGGCCCATACTCAGCAGCCTTACCTTTGTCATGGTAATGTTGATGATTTGTGTGGTTCGCCTGCGAGCAGAGCGGGTCTTACGGCCTGAGTCGGGGAAGACGTCCCCCAAGGAGTCCAAGCTGCTCTCCAGAGGAGGCTGACCCCGAGCAGGAATGGGAGTGAAGTACAGGCTCTCCAGGGATTCCACCTTGCGGGGCAGGCGCTGGGAAATAGGTGAGGCTGGCTCTCCAGGAACACTGGTGCCATCTGGCTGGGTACGAGGCAGCTTGCTGTAGAAAAGCAACTCACTTAGATGCAGTTCCTAGGTCAGAAGGCGTTCTGTTTCCTTACCCCAAAGGGGCTCTTTCTTACACTCACCACAAGCACACTATTGCTATAATTTTTCAGAGGTACCAAGAAAAGGCTTTTCAGTCTACTCTCAGCTGCCTCTAACCACTTCATACTGCCAACTCCCAGGCCCTGCTCTCTAGGCTAGAAAGCCAATGCCTCAGACCTTCCATAGCAGCCGCAGCTCCTCCACAACAGGGCCTCCCTGCCTGGTCTTCCTGCATTTCCTATTCAGTAAGGAAGAATACCTTCAGAGTCCTCAAATCGTAATAAATGTGGGTGTGGTCTGACCTCTCCTGCCACACCTAGTCAACTACCAGCCTTCTAAGTAGCTCTCCTATCCTGTCACCTAGATTTAGACTGGCATCTGAGTCAGATTGCAGAGTGGTGACAGGCAAGGACATAGATCAGGCTGCCCAAGTTCAAGTCCCAGCTCCACAAGAGCCTAGTCCAGTCACTGCCCCTCTAAGCCCTGGTTCCATCTGCTTAAAGATAGATATAATAAATAATAATCTGCCTCAGAGGATTGTTGGGGGTAAAAAAGGAAGTTGTAATTGTTTTAAGTACTCAGAACACTGGTACATAGTAAGTACAGTACAGTGTTTGATAAACAGTAACTGTCCTTTAATCCTTGACTTCTATACTCTCAGAAGACTCTAAAGATGCAAGATTCAACCTTGTAGTCCTAAATTCAGCCCTTTGAGGTTGCTTGGGTCTTTAGGATCAAGTCTAGCCTCTTTGAGTTCTTGGGCCCACTCAGCCACAAGGTTCTGCACACACCTGTGGATTCTATTAACACTCTCAGTAGGTGAGACAGCTTCCACTGAGGCTTTCTTGACCATTTCTTTTCCACCTCAACTGCACCCTAAGCAGACATCTGACATCACATCTACAACACTTCAGTTTTATCCCCAATTCCCAAGAACAAACTTTCAGAAGGCAAAGGGTCCACATATTATTTTCCTAGTCCAGTGCCTAGAATACCAGGCACTCAGTGAACAGACAAGGGGTAGAGGCATGTCCCCTGACCTGGTGACACTGCATGGTGTCCCCTCCTCACAGCTCAGATCCAGGCTGTCAATACTCAAATCCAGCTGGGGTTTGACCTGGAGCTCACGGCTCTTTAAGGCATCAGTTGCCACCTGAAATTTACCCAGGTCTCGAAGCTGCTGATCTGCATGGGCAACCTGGGAAGAATGAAGGAAAGCAACCAGGTGTGGTGGTGCACGCCTTTGATCCCAGTACTGGGGAGGCAGAGGCAGGCGGATCTCTGTGAGTTGGAGCCAGCCTGGGGCTACAGGGAGACCCTGTCTCAAAAAGACCAAAAAGAAAAAAGAATGAAGGGAAGCATAAAAGCAGGGGTGGCCTTGGAGAGGAGAGTATGGGTTCAACAGTACAGGGGTAAGGTGCATCTGTTTAGCTTACCTGTGCCTCCAGGCTGCGCACCTGGGCAGTAAGGTGGCGGCAGGCTTGTTCAGCCTCCTTGGTCTTCAGTCCTGCCTGCTGCAGCTCACGGCCCAGACGTTCAGCTTCAGCCCGCAGCTCCTTGTTCTCCTTCTGCAGCTGCTCCAGGTCCCGAAGCTGTTCCTGCAGCTCTTGGTTCTGCTGTTTCTTGGCATCATAATGGGTCTTGGCTTTCTCCATCTGTGTGGAGAGATAAGGTAGGTAGGTACAGCAGACTCTTTAGAGGAGAAGGAAGAGAGCAAGCCCATTCCCAGCTCCTCACCTGCAGCTTATAATGCTCAGCGGCCTGTTCCTTCTGGCTCAGTTGGGCCTGCAGCTCACTCAGCTGTGCCTGGAGGCGCTGGACCTCCTGCTGGCTCTCACCTCCCTGGGCCTGGAAAGCCTGAAAGAAAGGCCAGTCAGAAGGGCAGCTCTAGCTGCTCCAACCCAAATCCACTGGCCTACACTTGCTGCTCAGGCTCCACAGGTATTCTGAGTTCTGCATGCATACATTCCCTCAGAATTCCTGCCTCAGCAACTCACAGTCCCAACTACAGCCCTACAGAAACACCACACATCCTCCCAGACTCCTTTTTGTGGATGCTTTTCTGACCAGCTTCTATCATCTGGCTCAGAGTTGTCATCTCTGCCTGCTTTCTTTGAGACTAGGCACACAGCGTCTCATTACACACACACAATCTCCCAAAGGAAGAGAAAATCGATCTTCAGAGAGCACCTGGGTGCAGAGCACAGTAGGTGGCACTAGCATGTGACAGGGGCTCACTTTTCCAAACTACTTTGAGAAGTAACTTTTATTCTCATTACAGAGATGAAGAAAATGAGTTCAGAGATTTAGGCAAACTGACCTAGGTCACAGTGAACAGCACAGAACAAGACCTGAACATGGTCCACCTAACCCCAAAGCCTATGGAAACTCATTTACGATGCCATAACTGCCTCTTATCCAGACTACAACTCCTAAAGAGTAGGCCTGCACCTGACTGTCACCTGCAATGTCAGCTTGGTCTGCTACGGATTCTGGATAGGCGCATCCCATTAGTAGCTCTCCTATCTCCTAAAAGGAACATGATAAACCTGTTTATCATTTGTAACACTGCGGATGTTACGCCTGGGATCCATAGCTCCTATCAACATATGGAACCCAGGACCTTCTGTATGCTAGGCAAGTCCCAATGCTGCCCAATTTCTTTGCCCTGGACTAACAGATGTGAAGCTTAGAGCTGCAAAAAGCAACCATTAGAACAAAGAAGGTAACAATTAAAAGTATTAACTGGTCATTACAGTACACGACTGTGATCCCAGCACTATGGGCTACATGACGAGACCTTGTCTCAAAAATAAATAGCTGGGCATAGCTGGGTGTGGTGGCATAGGCCTTTTAAACCCAGCACTTGGGAGACAGAGGCAGGTGGATTTCTGTGGAGATTGAGGCCATCTAGGACTACTTAGTCATTTCCAGGCCAGATAGGGCTACAGGGAGACCCTGTCTCAAAAGACTGATCCATACATCCATCAATCAGCCAGTCAGTCAGTCAATAAATTGATTGATTGATAAAATGTAATAGTAGGTACTGTTAAGACTCTCACATCTTCAGCCCAGAATACTTAGACCAGTGCTGTTCCATAGAACTTTATGGGATGAAGGAACTTGCTGAATCTTCACTGTCTCACAAGGTAGCCACTAGCCACACACATATAGAGCAGGGAAATGTGGCTAGTGTACACATTTTCTTTTTAAAGGTGCTGACTGAACCTAGGGCCTTCTATGTGCTAGGTAAGTGCTCTACCACTGAGCTATACCCCTGGCCCTTCATTATTTTTTAAGATATTTTTTTACAGGTGTCTTGCTGCTGTAATGAAGGGAGAAGGCCTTCCCGTGAAAGGTCCTAAAAGGCAAACCCAGGACTTCCAAGCCTCGGGATGGCCTCCTGGGCAACCAACCTCCTCCAAGGTTACCCCTGCTCTGACCCTACACCACCACAGTCCAAGGATTTGGAGTGGTCATTCCTCCACCCTCTTGCTCTGAGGTAGAGGCCAGGCCTGTGAGCACAGCTGTCCCACCTTCAGTTTCTGCTGCTGCACCTTGCTGGCTTGGTCATACTCTGCCAGTTTCTTACTCAGTTCTTCCACCTGGGGAATAGCAGAGGGGAGAGAAAATTCAGGAAACCTAGACTCAACTAGGGGGTTCCCCTAGACCATTACCCCAGACTCCTCTGTCTTCTACATAGGTAACAACCTGCTATCAGGGTCTGTGGTGGCCCCAAATAGATGTTATGTTGCCAAGGCCACCTGCCCATACTTGCTCCATCTCTAGCCTGCAATCCCCAAGTCAGCAGCTGACTCTTCAGAGCTGCCAGCTTTCCACATCCCTGCTGCATCCTGTTCCCCAACCCCAACCTGCCTAGACTGGCGGCATGAACAGGGCACCTATGGGGCTAGAAGATGGCACAGCACTGAAACATGGATTCGGTTTCCAGCACCCACATGGCGGCTCCTAACTGTTATCTCCAGTTCCAAGAGATCCAGTGCCCTCTTCTGACCTCCATGTGCACCAGCCACGCATGTGGTGCACATACATGCAGGCAACCATTCATACACATAAAATATATTTTTTTTTTAAAAAAAAGGAAAAAAATAAAACAGTTAGTCTGATGCTCTAGCAGACGTTTCCCATGTAAATCCAACCCTCCCTTCCTAGAAAGTGCCAAAGCAAAGCTCTCAGGTACTCAGACCTCTTCCCAATCTCCATCTGCTATTAGGGCTGGTGCTAGCAGCGTGACAGCTGTGGTTAGCAATGGGGGGATAGACTGCTAGAGGACAAGAGCAGGGGCAGCACACATACCCAAGTCCCGCCTCCCAACTCCCATAAAGAAGAGCCAGAGGAGGAAGGGAACAAAAATGGATCATAATAGCCACAAGCACCCCTGGTTCCTCCAGGCATCTGGGGGGTTCAAGCATGACCAGGCAGCAGAGGGAGAGGTAAAATGCTCCACTGCTAACTGCTTGCTTTTCAAACTGATTGTCCACATCACCTCAATCTCCTTGGAGGAGGTGACAAGAGGAATGCAGGGCCCACTTCCTTGGCAGGCCTTCAGTGACTGGGAAGGAGGGCAGTGGAGAAGGTGCTCTTACTAAATACCAGCTGTGTAGCCGCTAGGGAGCACAGAGAACCTTGTGAAAGAGAAGGAGGCAACCAGACCATATGGCCCATCTGGCCCAGACCCCTTCTGCGTCTCTCAATCTTGAGCTTCCTTCTCCAGACAGTTCTGTGTGAAGCTCTGGCCTCTGGTCTAGAGAGTGCTGGGTGAGTGTTCTGAGCTCATCATGGTGCCTCTCCTTCAAGGGCTGCCTTATATATCACTTAAAAAAAGTTAATTTTTAAAATTTTATGTATATGTGTGTATTGCCTGCATGTATGTGAGTGCACTCGTGTTGTACAATGCCATGGAGGTCAGAAGAGGGCTTTGGATTCCCCTGGAACTGGAGTTAAGGACGGTTCATAGCTACCATATGGGTGCTGGGAATTGAACCTGGGTCCTCTGCAAGAGCAGTCAGTGCTCTTAACCACTGAGCCATCTCTCCAGCCCCTTTACTTTTATGATTTGGATAAATCCATACTCTATGGAAAGAAGGGTGCTCATCTAAACAAGGCCAAAGTAAGTCAAAACAGAACTAAAGGTTTTAGAATCATGAGGATTGAGTCTGTTATTAGAGCAGGTCTGGAAGAGGTGAAACCTATGCTACCCCTTGTCCCTAACAGGTGAGAGAAAGTGCAGAAAGGGAGCAGCCGACCTGGGATGGGTGGGATGTGACCCAAGAGAGGGCCCATAACACTGCACTCCTGGGTAGCCTGGGCCTGGATTCCATGGCTTGACCCTGCCCCCTTCACAAACAGTTCACAACAGGAGCTGGCGGAGCAAGCTGCAGCAGGGGTCATGCACTGAGACTGGTCACCGCTTAAGCAGCCAGCATTTATCCAGAACCCCAGGCATTACCTGCTTAGTCTGCTCTCTCTGAAATACCTCTAGCTGCTCCACCTGTGCATGGGGGAGGAGCAACAGAGACAGTGAGATGGCGCCACTGCCAGGCTGACTTCACCTGGGCTCTGGCATTTCCTCTAGGGACTACATTTGCTCAGCTTAAAAAAAAAAAAAAAAATGCCAGTTTAAGCCAGATGTGGGGATGCATGCCTGTAATCACACTTGTGGAGATACGATAGGAGTTCAAGGCTGTCTTTGGCTGCAGAGTGAGTTCAAACCTGAGCCACATGGAATGGTGTTTCAAAACCAATCAATCCAGTTTGGCTGCTTCTACTCCCAGCAGCCATTGGGGCTCTAGGTCATCACAACTTGACTCTCCAGGATCAAAGCCTTCAAAGAAAGGGAGGCCATAGATATTTTCCTCCTTTTTTTTTGGAGGGAAGGGGGTGTGGAAATTCAGACGGGGTCTAACTATGCAACTCCAAGCTGGCCTCAAATTCATGATCTTCCTGGGCACCTTTGGCCTCCCAAATGCTGGGATTAGAGGTGTGCGCCACAGCTAGCTTGAACATTTTTTTTAGGATGACAACAACTAACTTGGGAGTCTACCAGTCCTCTTTCTTTTTCTGCCACCCAGTGAATGAGGGCAGGCAAGCTATTGTAGTGTGCTAGCCAGGAGGTTAGGGAATGCAGAGGAACAATACTTCCATGTGCTCAGGTTTGGATCTGTCGGGGGGATGGCTGGACTGGACAATTTACCTGGGCAGTGAGTTTCTGCCTCTCGTCCTGGAACCGCTGCCTTTCTTCCAGGACCTTCACCTTGGCACCCTCATACTTGGCAGTCATCACCTCCAGCTCCCTGCTTGTGCTCTGTGCTTCTTGCCGCATCTCAGCCAGACGGGTCTCAGCATCAGCACGCACAGCTGCTAACTCCTGGACATACTTCTCACGGGCCTGATCCAGCTCCACTTCCAGGAACTGCCGGCCAAGGCTGGCCCGCTCTCCCAACCCCCGGTTCTCCTCTGCCAGCAAGCCATGAGCCTTCTTCAGCATGCTCAGTTGCTCTGCATAGCTGGCCTTCTCTGCCCGAAGCTGCTGGGCTGCTCGCTCCTGCTCCACCACCTTTTGTCGCAACGGCACTAGTTCCCCAAGCTCCCTCTGTGCCCTCATCAGCTCTGCCCGCAGCCCTCCAGCTGCCTGCTTGCTCTGCTCCAGCTCCTCCCGGTGGCGCTTCTCCGCAGCTGCCTGCTCAGCCTGCAACTGCTGGCAGAGATGCTTGGCAGGCAGCAGCTCGCTCACCAGGGCCTGTGTGCTGGTGTGCTCCAGCTGCAGGGCAGAGAGCGCTTGTTCCTTCTGGAAGAACTTCTCCTGCCACGCCTTCAATTCTTGGCCCAGTTCTTCAGCTCGCTCGGCCTGTGAGGCCAGCTCCTGCCGCAAGTTCTCTGAAGCCACACGCTGTTTCTCCACCTCCTCCCGGAGGCTCTGTACTTCCTGCCGCAGAGCTGAGCTGCGTTCCGCTGCTCTGGCACTGTTGCTGGCTGTTTCTGCCTGAAGCAGGCGCAGCCTCTCTTCTAGCTTCTGGCTCTTCTCTGACTCAGCTATAACTAGGCGTTTTAACTCTTTGCTCTCCCCCTCTTTCTCTAGGACTTGGCGATTCAGGATGGACACCTCTTCTTCCAAGCTGCTGATAAGACTGCTTTTTCTGTCAGCCTCCTGCTGGCCCCGGGCTACCTGGGCCTTCCATTCCTCCTCAGACTTGCTATGGTCCTGGGCCTTGGCACGGAGGGCTGTCAATTCCCTCTGAGCTGAGGCTGAAGCAGCTTGACTGTGCCCCAGCTCCCGAGCCTTCTCCTCTAACTGGCTCTGCAGCGTCTCCAGGGCCTTGTCCCTCTCGGCCAGGGAAGCTCGCTCCGACTCCAAGCTGTGTGCCAGGCCTTCAACCTGCTCTTGCTGCCGGCGGCACTGCTGCTCCAGCTTGCTCACCTCTGCCTGCAAGGTCTCCAGCTCAGTGCCTGGAGGCTCTGTCTTTCCAACTGCCTCTAACTGGGCTCCTGGGCCCAGAGTATCTTCCCCACTGGCGCCCCCTACAGGGTGCTCTTTTTCTTTCTTGACCCGAAGTGCTTTCAGCTGCTCCATGTCCTGCTGAAGCTCTCTCAGCTCTGATTTTAGAGCTGCCTCCTGTCCACGAAGCTTGGCCAGCTCCTGGTCTTTGCCATCCTTTTCCTTCAAGGCATGGGCCAGTGCTTCCTGCAGGGCAGCGAACTCCACACGCTGCTCGTTGAGGGCATTCTGTAGCCGCATCTCAAGCTCTGCCTTGGCTGCCTTCTCCTGGGCCAGGTCAGCTTGGGCCTGGCCCCGCTCCTGAGTCAGCCGTGCTACCTCCCTCTCTTGTTGCCCACGCTCCTCCTGCTGCTGCCCCTGGCTCTCCATGAGCGCTGCCCTCAGCCTCTCCAGTTCGCTGCCCATTTGTTCGGCCTCACGCTCCATAGCCTGTAGTGCTGCCTGTGTGCTGCAGAATGGCCGTCCCTGCTGTTCTTCTAGCCATTTGGACTCTCTGTCACTAGCCCTTGGTGGCTCTTTGAATAGCTCATGGGAGGCTGTTTCCTGTTGTTCACCTGCTTTGCGCACCAAGGCCTCCAGCCGGGCCACCTCCTTGCTAGTGGCAGCCATTTTCTCCTGCAGAGTAGAGAGGTCATCTGCCAGCTTCTGGGCTCTGACTTCCTTCTCCTGGACCTGCTGAAGGGCTCTGGCCAGGTTGGCATGAAGCTGGGCTAGCTCAGTCTGCTGCTGGCCTATCTGGAGCTCACTGTGGGCCTCTACTCCTGCCATCTTCTCTTTTGCCTCCTGAAGCTCCTGGCGGGCCTTTACACACTCCTCCTTCAGAGCCATCAGCTGTTCCTGGAACATGGCACCATACCGTGCCTCTTCTTGCTGGCTGTCTTCAAACCTCCCTTGCCAGGTAGCAACTTCCTTGACAAGCCGCTCACACTCACTCTCAGCCCTATGCTGGGAAGCTGTGGTCTCTGCAAGCTCCTGCCGCAAGGCTTCAGTCTCAGCCTGATGGGCTTTCCCAAGCTGCTGTAATTGGGCCTCCAGCCCCTTTCGCTCAGTCTTCTCTTCCTCTAACTCCTTCTGTTCCTGCTTACGCTGCTCCATGAGGCTTCGGGACTCTGCTTCTAGTTCAGTGACATGGCGTTGCTGCTCCTCCAGGGCATCTGCCGCCTTGCGTTTCTCCTCCTCAAGGCTGCCCTTGGTGATTTTCAAGGACTCCTCAAGGACCCGTAGCTGTTCTTGGAGCTGGCCTTTCTCCTGGGCCACTTTTTCTATCTCGGTTGCTTTTTGCTGTTCAGCCTTCAGTTGGGCCTCTAACTCTGTCACCCGGGCCTGGGCCTGACGCTGTTCCTGGTGGGCAGCTTCAACACAGGAATGGAGTTCCTCTACTTTTTGGCTGAGCTCTACTTTCTCCTGCTGGGCTTGTGTGACTGATGTCTGCACACTGTCCCGAGCTTCATTAGCAGCTTGAAGTTGCTTCTGCAGACTCTCTAGCTTGGCAGCCATCTCCTTCTCCATTGCTTCCAGCTGCTGGCGAGCAGCATCCCTCTCCCTTAGAGAGGCTTCTTGCGCCTCAGTAACACTGGCCAGTTGCTGGGCGTGATCTCGCCTGGCTGCCTCCTGCTCCTTGGCTGCCTCTTCCAGCAGCTGCTCCTTCTGTTTCAGGCTGCTGCTCAGCTGCTCCACCTGCTGACAGAGGCCTTGCGAGGCCTGTTCTTGCTCTTGCAGGGTCTGTGCCAGCTCAGCCTGCTCCTTTTTGGCTTGCTCTTTCAGGCTGGCCAGCTCTTGATCCTGCTGCTGCAGGGTGGCATTGAGTGCTGTTAGAGAGGCCACGTGGGCAGTCAGCTGGGCCCCCTGAGCCTGTGAGGCCTGCTCCAGCTCCTCCTTGGCCTGGCAGAGGCTGGAGATGGAGCTCTGCAGGTCAGCAATCAAGCTGGCCAGCTGCTGCTTTTCTTCTTCAAAGCGGCCCCGCTCAGCGAGTAGCTGGGCTTCCTGCTGGCCCTGTTCATGCTCCAAGGTCTGCACCCGGGCTTGGAGCTGGGTGTTGTCTGCAGCAAGTGTGGCTGCTTCTTGCTTCAAGGTTTCCAGCTGTTTGGATAAAGAGACAAACGGGGATCAGCATGACTCCTCAGTAAACAGAGAAGCACCAAGAACCAACCCCATCACACAGTCTTACAGGCTGCTCCTGTGTATTCCTACCTGCAAGGCATCACCCAGCACCTCGCCCTTCTCCTGAGTCAGGTTCTCACACAGTTGATCTGCCCGTTCTTCCAGCTGGGAAAGCTTTCCCTGAAGGATTTCATTCTTCTCTTCAAGACATTTCTTGGAGTAAACAAGAGATCCATGTGAACAGAGAAGTATAACACGCAGCAGATGACCACTCAGGCCCTCAAGAGTATCAACAAAGAGCGAGACACTGCCATCCTGTTACCTAGCTCTCTCCTTGTCCTGACCTAGAGAAAACCTCTTAGAAACCATGGGTCTGAGCTAGGTGATGCAACTCCTAGCACTCGGAAAGCTGAGACATGAGGGTCAAAAGTTCACAGATGAGCTGGAGAGAAAGCTCAGCAGTTAAGAGCACTGACTGCTCTTGCAGAGGACCCATGTTCCGTTCCTGGTACCCACAAAATGGCTAACTGTCCATAACTTCAGTTCCAGGGTAGCCTACACCCTCTTCTGGCCTCCATAGACATTGCATGCATGTGGTATACTTACATGCAAGCAAAACACCATACACATAAAATAAACAGCTCAAAGACCAGTTTGGGCTACAAAACCCTACTTCAAAAACAGTAACAATAAAAAATAAATCATCCAAGGTCTAGACCTCCAAGGATCTGATTTTCTAGTCCAAAGTCTAAAGCCAAACTAAGTCAAAGTGTGAACTTTCAATTTACTTACCATGTATACTTCCTTGGACAAGTCTTGATTCCCAGACTATCCAAATCACCATCATATTAAAAACAGCCCCTGGGCATTAACACCAGCAGAGCCTCAGTGGTCCAGCCCCACACCCACTTCCCCACCATTGTGGGTACCAGGTACTGTGCTGATATATCTCTGAACTCCTTCCTAATCCACCCACAAGTCTGAGAGGGAGCTATTACTCTCTCTTTTACATCAAAGGAAGATCCTGCCACCCAGATGCCAAATGCTGTGCCCAAGGGTTACATGGTTAACAAGCAGCAGGGTTAGGCTCTTATTGACAGTAACAATGATACAGGATGGGCATCCCTAATCTGAAAATATAAAATCCAAAGATCCCAAATCCTAAATTTTCTGAGTTCCAACATGATGCCAAAAGTTTTTTGGATTTTGAGCAAGGTATTGTAGCAGAAGCCTGTAATCCCAGTACATAGGAAACAAAGACAGTCTACATAGCCAGACTCTCTTAAAAAATAGTTTTGGGGGGCTGGAGAGATGGCTCGGCAGTTAAGAACACTGGCTGTTCTTGCAGAAGACCAGGGTTTGAAACCCAGCACCCACACGGTGGCTAACAACTGTCCATAACTCCACTTTCAGAGGTCAGGGTCTTCTGACCTCTGAGGGCATTCCACGACACAGGTGCACTTACATGCAGGCAATATACTCATACACAGAAAAAAAAAAAAGTTTTGGATTTTAGAGTAATGTAAATTTTGGATTAGGGATGCTCAACTCAAAGTCTATGTAAACATTCCATAATGAGAAAACCTTCAGTCTCTGACACACTTGTGGTCTCAAGCATTTATAGCAAGGGAAACCCAAGCTGAAATCACAACTAACTCAGAACTTACTTTACCCCTTACAACAAGTCAATGCTTCAGACAATCTCATGATAGTCAGCAGAGCAGCTGCTTGTCATCAGTCCCCTTAGGGACTGATTAACTTTTCCAAGATCCATACCTTGTACGCTGCAGGTTTTGTAGGCATCCTGGACCTAGTCCATTATAGCATACTACTAATGTATGAGAAGGCAGCTCACTACTCAAGGGAACAGCACAGCAGAACAGAGCAAAGCAATGAACTTACTATGCACAAGGGTTCAGATTGTGGGCACATTCCAAGCAGAGGGTTACCTTATCCTGGAGGGCTGTGCTGAGCTCCTTCTCCAGACGGGCCTGCTTCTCCACCCATTCCTGAGTGGCCTTGCTGTGCTCCTCTGTCAGGTCATTGAGGGCACCCTGGAGTTGCTGCAAGTGACTTGCAAACTCACGAAGCTGAGACATGAGCAGGTAGTCATCATCACTCAGGGTGAAAACTGGCACCAACACTCCAACTATTCCATAAAGCCTAGGCCCTGGGGCCTCCAAGGACAGCTAATCACACCTCCAATTTTGGACCACGTAGTGGCAGCCAATGATAAGACAAGGAAAGTGGCTATGCATGCAGGTCCGGGGAAAGAATGAAGCCTAAGCCAGGTACTGGGCAATATTAGCAACCCTCTTGGGGAAACTTCCAGACCCTCTATGTATAGCCAGCCTCACTCACTTTAAAGGAAAGGTCCCCGTTCTCCTCAGAAAGCTGACTGATCTTGCGGTCCATCTGGTTTTTCTCTGTCTTCAGGTCCTGACACTGCTTCAGAGTCTCATGCAACCGCATGGTGAGACTGCCAGAGAGGGAAGCAGTGAGAGGATGCTGTTGCCCCTAGCCTGGACCAGCAGGGACTGGGTACTGGAAGGAGGGCTGAGAGAGCCATACCTCTCGTTCTTGCCACGGAGCTCCTCAAGCTCCCTGGGCTCCAGTGGGCTGGCTGCCTGCTTCTCGTTCAGCAGAGCCAGGCGGTCAATGCGCTGCTGCATCATGGCTATCTGTGCATCTGCCTCAGGCAGGGGAGGAGACAGGATTCAGCACAGAACCAGGACACGGGGAGAAAGCTGAGAAGTCACATGGTGTCTACTCCCCAGGAAAGAAGCACGGGGCAGGGACAGAACCCACCTTCTAGCACGTCAGCCTGACACTTGAGCCAGGGCTGAGCCCTAAGCTCCAGGGTCAACAGAGACAAAAAGGGAGGGGAAACCTCCCTGGATGAAAAATCCAAAATGGTGTCCAATTGGCAGCACCCAAAGTGTGCCAAGTACCTACCCTTCTCAGTGAGGAGCTTGCGGCTCTCAGCCAGCTCCAGCTCTAGCTCATCCCTGTTGTTCCTCTCGTCGGCCAGCTGCTTCTTCAGCCGTCTCATCTGGAACTGTGGGGTCTGCAGGATGTTACTCATAGGGGAGGATGGAGAACCTGAGAGGAAGCTGAGGAAGGAGATGGCACAGGTACAGGTTAGAATCCATGGACTAAAATAACCAGCAGCAGCCAGGATAGAGCAGTATCAGTGACCATAACAAGCAGGAGGCCAGTGTGTTCTGTCTGCAAGGTTACCTCATGCCTCAGGACATGACTGGAGAAACTTTTTTTCCCCTTCTTCTGAGTCTTAATTGTCTTTGTTGAAGGGCTAGGGACATGTATCTTTCCAGAGAAGAAGGCATTTCTATAAATAGGGAACTGCTTTTGGGAGGTCTACCCATGACACATCACAAGGGAAATCCTGTATCTATAGCATCCTCCAAGTACTTCCTGATGATTTAAGAGGTGGGCCTGCAGCTTAGTCTCCAGTAGTCAAGATCTGGAGGACTGGATGGACTTGAGGAGACCCCATCCCAGGAGGAGAGGCCCAGAACATACTTGTTCTCACTGGAAGTCGAGGCAATCCTCTGTAGCTCTAGGAAGCGAACCTCCCTCTTGCCCTGGTGGCTGGGTGGGGAAAGCTCTTCAGAGAGGGTGCTGGAACAGGTGGAAGAGACAGGAACTAGGGGTAAGAAGCAGACAAACAAATCAAGGACAGTTAGTAGGGGGATGAACACATTTTCACTTTTATGCAACAGGAGAACTCTACCTTACATGTGAATCTGCAGACACTTTGATATAAACTGAAGAGGGGAGGGGGAACTAGGCAGAACCTGACCCTAGAGGTCAGGGTCTTTAACAAAAATCAAGTGCAAGGCTTTCAACTCCTCAGAGCACAGTACCCAGAAGAACACAGTGGAGTGAGGAGAGCCCCTCTGTGCTCAAAAATTGGACCAAGCACTGATGTCAACACTACAGAGGCATCTTGGAAGTCTAGCATAGGGTCTCCCCAAAGCCCCCAGCAGCCTGTGTTGGCATCACTGGCCTCCTTAAGGTATACAATCTTCTCCTCCCTTGGTTCCCATGACCGCTTTCTCAGGACTCTACTTTGTCTAATTACCCCCAGGGGCTTTTTCGTCTGAAGCTTCAATGGCCATCCCCATGCTGACCTACAAGCTCACACCTGACCCTTGCTTGTATTCTAGACTCCCATTCCTAACAGCTCCACCTAAAGTCTCATGAACCTGAACACGAAGAACACCAAGTTCAACAGCAAGAAGAGAATGTGCCCGCACAACTACGGCTCGGTTTCCTAGCAACAGGAGCTGAGCTCTTCATGAGACTGGCATGTCCATAATTAGTTCTCTTATCAGGCTTACTTGTTCTTATGTACCTGCCTCTCATCTAGAACATGAGCTGCAAGAGGGGAAACCTTTTTCAAGATTTCTAAGAGATGTTTATCTCCAGCTTCTAAACCTAAAGTAAAAAAACCCAAAAAGGTGAGAAGATGGAGTCCAAGAAACACAGATGAGATCACTCACAAACATCCTGTTGAACTGCTGCCAGGCACCAGGGAGCCACTAAGAGGATCTGAGGTGCTGGCAACATGGCCCAGAAATCACCTTCCATTGCATATATGGCTCCTGAGCACCAACTCTGTGCTGTGTGTTGGGGTCAGAGGATTGCAGAGGTTCTGTTCAGAGACAGAGTGGATCTTCACAAGTGGCCCTACTCACCTTTCTCCAAGAAATTCTCTAGGTCCTCAGTAAGGTTTAGCCCATCCTCATGATCCAGCATAAACTTCAGGATGACAGCTAACTCAGCCTGTGTCACAGAGACAAAAGGAGTTTCACTGTGGTGTTGGAGACACCTCTGACAGGAGGGCTCAGGACTTATCCAACAGTGCCAAATCCCAGAGTCTGCTGGATCCTTTTCCCCCTCAAAACTGAAGCCCACAACATATTCACTCCACTTGTTCTTCCTTTGCCAGAAAGCTTCTGTACTTAACTTTGTTGGCCTCTTTCAAATAAACCTACCAGGAAAGGATAAGTGGAGTAACAGCTACATACATGAAGAAACATATATGAAATGAAAATAACTTCTACATTATCCACACACACAGGTCAGCTAAATACATATGTGTAAAAGAGGACTTGGAAATCTAACCCTTAAAAGTAGTTGTGTCTGGGAATGAGAGATGAGATGTTATTTCCTTCTTTGTGGTTCTCAATATCTTCTGGTCTTTTTTTTCTTTGTATTTTTACAAGGAATGGCTGTGATTACATCCATAGCTTTTTTGAGAATAATAAATGTTATCTGAAGAGAAATGAACAGGGTAAGGGAAGCCTAGGGCTGAACTAGGAAGTTGGGTGAAGGTGCAAGAGCTCACCTGAATCCTATATTCAAACTGTTCCCAGTCCCAGGGGTTTCTGGAGCTCATGGTAGAGTGATATAAAAGCAGCAGCAGCATCTAGAAGCCAAACAAGGGGCAGTCACTGAGTGAGGTATGTCTCTTCCTAGTGTTCCCACTCAGGGCTGCTTTGAGGACTCCGAGCTATTCTCTTCCAAAATTCCTACAATCAGCAGTTCTAAGTCATCGTCCTTAACAGCCCCCAAAGATATTTCTTTCTTTCTAAATTTTTTTTTTAACCAAGGGCTCAGTGCATACTGTACAAAATGCCCCATGTCAGGATTTCTATACAGCTGAGTTCCTGGACTTGTAGAAACATGAGCATAAAGGCACCACCCTCTATAAGCCAGCACCCAACAGAGGAAATGAAGTCAATGAGCTTGAAAGAAAAATGATGATCGTTGAGTGAGACCTGGTTCCTGCAAGCCTCCGTCGTGGACCTCAGTGCTGGTCGAGTAAACCTCTTTGTCAGAAGATCGTGGGCTCCCAGAATCCTTGGACGGAAATGGACTCTGGCTCAGCCAACTGGCTGGCTGATCCTGCCTTCAGGTCTCCAGAGTCCCAGAAACAAAGCACTCAGCAAACCTCCTTTGGGTTCAGAAAAGGCCCTGCAGGTTTCTCAGGTACCCCCACCCCCAAGTCTGGTACCTTGGCCAGTTCCAGCTCAGAGCCCTCCATCACTTTCTGCACAGACACCAGGCATTGTGTAGAAGAGGGATGTTTTCGATTTTCTGCAATGATAACCATGCAGAAAACATTGAACACAGTGAAGTGAACCTCCTGGGAAACAAATCTAATATCCTTATAACTTCTGAGTCTGAGAAGAAGAATCATAGCCTCTGAGAAGACTGTGAGACGAAGGGCCCCATATTCCTATGTCTTCTCTCCCCTGCCTTACGGTTCTACCCTACAGTTACCAAAGGGCTCCAGCAGTAGTCCTAGAAGAAAGCAGGCAGGGCATCTGCAGTAACTCTGGGTTAAGACCCTATATTCACCTGTCAGCTCACCAGTTCCCCTTTAGAAACAAAGAAGGAGCCAGAGATCCATGTCACTCTAGAGTCCTGTTCTAAGTAAGGCTGCAGAGGAGGCTTACAGCTGAGTCCAAGTAGAGTGGCTGAGGACGGCTGGCCCTTATACTGCCAAAGCATATAGTTTCACACAGTAACATCCTGTTCTATCTGGACAAATTCTCACCTTCCCTATAATTCTCTTGATGTGGAAATGGCAGACAGCTCCCATGGTAAAGGTGAAGACCCTGTGGTACAAGGTTAGACCAGGGGAGGAGAGCTAATAAACTCTGGGTCAGAAGTTTCACAAGCGTTCTTAATATTCTCATTAATCTGGCAAATAATTATCATTACCTCCATAACACACACCGGGAACCTTTATCTAGAAAGATACAGGACAGTGAGGAGAGGCAGGATATCAATCAAAATTGACTTCTGCCCCCTTTACCTACTGCTTAAGCAATTATCTAGGCAAAGTTATCTAGGGAAAAATACTTTTCCTTCAAGGGGAAGGATTTTTCTTACAAGGGTAATGTGGATCCTTCTCTTCTGTCCCTGAAAGTAGGGAGAAGAGAAGACCAAGGTGATGAACACCAACTCTTTATCTACCTGGACCTGACAATGGCTCTGGGACTGAAGGGACACATTCTTACATAAGCTAGTGGAGGTATCTCAAGATCTAGGAGGCTGACCCAGCTGTATTTATCTTTGTGCTAGAGCAGGGGGCCCTGAAATCTTTTTCCTCAAGACAACTATGACTGAGTCCCCTTGTTCACAAGTACCAGGAGCTGTAGCTGTGGAGACAGGTAAGAAAGGTACTTACTCTGCAGAAAACTGCACACAAAGTCCAGTCTATCTGGCACTGGCTGCTGGAGGATTTGCTGCCCCTCTTCGGTGTTGTGGCTAGAAAACAAGAGCAAGTATTAGGAACAGAGTAATTGGTGACCTACAGCTTCCCTTCCCCTTCAGGCTGGGTCTCTGCTGGGTCTGGGAAAGAACAGATCCTAAAGGCAGTGAAAAGATGCTAGAACACCACTTATTCTAGTGGAATTGTGTGGTGGGTGAGAAGTGAGGACTCACAGCATGGGGTCCTTCTGTAAAATATGGTATTCTGCTAACCCACTTGCAAATATGAAAAAGCTCTGTGAGAAGATGTTGGGAAGAGATGGCAGTGGCAGAAATGAATAGGAAGTTAGATTAAACAACCTGAAATGACTCAACTCTAACATGCCAAGAAGCCTGGAAAACACGATTAGAGTAGTGTGACAGGCCCATGGGAAGGGAAAAATGAGCCCAAGATCTGAAAGAATTGGAGGAGACAGGCTCTGAGGTGACAGAGCAAAGTTCCCACTCTACACTGGGGATGAGGCAGAGGTGGCTAAAGACTCCCAGAGGTAGGGCCTAGGAGCAATCATTCTTGATAAGTGCCCAGGCCCTCCTACTGTTTAACTGCAAAAGCACAACAGAAAAGAGAAACTAGGGAGGGAGGGAAGCAGCAGGGGCGCTCACACACAGCCAGGCCATGGCCATTTGCTCTAACTGCAGCTTCATTTTCAGTGGTGACTGTTTCACCTCTGAATAGGTCCAAGTCCACCTGCAGGTTAGAAAGGTGACTTTTCTCTCTAGCCATAGCTGGAGATGCTAATGATCAGAACCTACATCCTCACATCTTAACCAACTTTCTGGAGAGTCAAGGCCAGTCCTAGAACTTTCCAGTGCTAAGAGATAGCCTTGAAAAAGCACAAGGGGCATCCAGACCAAGAAAACCACAAGTTACCGTACGCTTTCCTGAGCAGAGGGAAAATCTTCCAAGTGAATACTCCTCATCCCCATGCAAGAGGCATTCAGGGTAGCTAGCACACGAGTGACACCTACTAATCTCTGACTCCTAAATAAACCATCTTCCCTACCCACCCAGGATGGGAATGAGGTGATTCCTTGCCTCAGTAGAGAATAGTATTTATCTACAATGTATACCATTAAATGAAATAAACAGAGGCTTCTTTGGCCAAATGTTTGAAAAATACTTGGTTAAATCAAACTGAAACTGAGTGGTGGTGCACACCTAAAATCTCAGCACTCTGGAGATAGAGCTTTGAGGGTTAGGAATTCAGTCAGCCTTGTCTCAAATATATATATCCTTTTCTTTTGATATTTTTTTAAAAAAGACAGAAATCTTGTCAGGCACTCCAGGTGCACACCTGTAGTCCCAGCATTTGGGAGGCAGAGGCAGGCGGATCTCTGAGTTCAAGGCCAGCCTGGTCTACATAGTGGGTTCCAGGACAGCTGGGGCTACAGGGAGACCCTGTCTCAAAAAGACCAAAAAAAAAAAAAAAAAAAGACAGAAATCTGATTGTGTTGCCCAGGTTTGTCTTGAATCGTAGCCTCAGGCAGTCCTCCCTTAAGCATTTACATATCATATGCTACCATGCAACTCAAACATTTTCTAAAGGACAGAATGTAACATATTATTTCCTAAACCTGTTTGATCACAAAGCTTTTCCCTACTGCCTCTGGCATAAGAAAAGCTGCATGGAACATGCTAGTCCTAGAAGTCCTAGAAAAGTGCAGTCCATCCTAGACTGCTCAAGTCTCCTCTCATCAGAACTTCAGCTGTCAACTCCACCACCTTCTCAAGTATCCTACAGCACTCAGGTATCCCCAAACTGCACTATTTACAACTGCCTTGGGTATCTATCAGGTACTCAATGCATCCAGGTTGACTGACAGCTGAAGGATACTTTTCATTGAGAAGAGAGAGGTCAGCATCAATAAGACAATTAGGTCTTTGTGTTTAACTTTGCTATGCAAGCCTCAGAGCTATCAAAGAGAGGAGGGCCTTTTGGCTTTAGGCTGTGCACAGGCAGAACAAAGGAGAAAATCCTCAGGAGTTGATGTCAATGTGTTTTCCCACACAGATGGCCAAATGGCCCACAGTTTCTATCTGGCAACCTCATTGCATTCCCTTGAGTATAAGACTTAGAGTAGAATAAGATTTGGATTAGCACCAGTAAGACTATCAGAAATGTAACAGGAAGACCATCTTAACCAAGAGTGTCTGTTTTCCCAAAGGCAGCTGGTCTGCATAGGAGATGGAAAAGTTAAGGCTAACTTGGGGTTTTAATATTTGCTAACTCAATCTCTCTCTATGCGCACCCTAGAAAACAGGCACCTTGAATTTCCCTATGAAAAATTTATTCCAGGAAGGAATAAATCTATAGAGGCTATATACAAAAGACAGACATCCTTATTTCTGGACTGTGATGTAGATGCTTTCTCCAACACTCCCTCTGAGGAGGTGGGAGGCAGGAAGGGGGTGGGGATAAGGGATGCTAATGAGACTTAAGAAACTCAGAAGAAACTTGTAAGACTCAGGAAGCTCATCAACTTATAAAACTCACAAGTCCCTCTCTGAGGTTACATAAGCAGTAAACAATTGCTGAGGTGTGGGGGGGTGTACTTATTCCTTTAGTTGTACAGTAAACTCAGGTGATACAGACTTCCTCAGTTGTTACCCATACTCGGGTGGACTTTTGGGTGATGCAGCTGCCTTTGAGTCACACATGTTCCTATAAATAACCACAATAAAACTCATGGGCTCACCAAGGTAGCCTGGGGTAGAATGTTTCTATGCTTCTCCCCAGGAAAAGTCATGCAAAATGGATCATCTACTGCTCTTGTATTCAAGCTAAAGAAATTTACCTTCTCAAAAGCAAAAACCTCCTTGATCTATTCTAAAGTCAAAAGAGCACAGAGCCCTCTATTGTATATTATATCTAGTTGCCTGTCTTTTAGTGATGGTGAAATTAAACAGTGGGCTAGGGACTGCTAGCCTAACAGGTTTCTTGTCACTGAATGCAGGTGCCTCAATCTACCACTTCATTAGAATTTGCAAAATAATGAATTAAAAATTTTTTTAATTTAATTTTTTATTTTATGTGTGTGAGTGTATTGCCTGCATGAGTTAAATGCACTCGTGTCGTGCAATGCCCGTGGAGGTCAGAAGAAGGTATCAGATCCCCTGGAACTGGAATTACAACGGTTGTTAGTTGCCACGTGAGTACTGGGAATCAAACCTGGATCCTCTGCAAGAACAGTCATCTCTCTAGCCCCCAAATAATGAATTCTTTTAAAAAAGATTGATTTTAGTTGGTTTTATGTATATATGTGTCTGTGTGCGTGTATGTACATGTTTGTGTGAATGTACATGCCTGGGCACAAGTAGAGGCCAGAAGGTATCAGATCCTCAGAGCTTGAGTTAAAGACATCTGCAGGCCCCAGCTCATTATATAGTTAATAGGATCTGAACTCCAGCCTTCAAGATTGTGCAACAAGTGTCCTTAACTGCTGAGCCATCTCTCCAGACCCCCAAATAACGATTTTTGTTAGGAGCTGCAAATTGCTGCTCTATAGATGGTATGCATGCCTACCTATGAAGCATCCTTGAAAAAAGAATCTATAGAGGCAGCAAGAGGAAGAGCAATAAACAAAGCAGCACCATGACAACACAATGAACAAGACCAAGAGTCAGTAATTTCCACAGATCAAAATAATAGATGAGGTAGGGAGAGAGAAATAAGCAGGAAACAAAGTCAGTGAGAAGAAATGCGCTGAGCCTCAGGTGAAAGAGGTGTGGTTTTTAAGATTTGGCCTCTATTTGCTCATTCTCACCAGGAATTCTCCTACCTCAGCCTCCCAAGCAGCTGAACTATAGCACATGCTATCACAGATAAATTATCTTATCAGAACAAAGATTTTAGATTTTGGCCAGGTGTAGTAGCACCTGGAGACAGAGGAAGGAGATTCAAGGTAATCTTTGGCTAGATTTTGGAGGCACAGACAGGTAGATTTTTGAGTTCAAGGCCCAGCCTGGTCCACAAGGCAAGCTCCAAGCCAGCCAGTGCTACTTACAGAGACTGTCTCAAAAAAAAGATAAGTCTTCTAAAGGACAAAAGAGGGTAGTGACCTAATACAAATTAGTGCCAAGGAGGGGACTGGAGAGATGGCTCAGTGGTTAAGAGCACTGGCTGCTCTTCCAGAAGACTTGGGTTTGGTTTCCAGTAACCACATGGTGGCTAACAACCATCTATAACTCCAATTCCAGGGGATCATGAATGCACTTACATACGTGCAGGTAATACATTCATACACATAATAAATAAAGTATTTTACCAAAAACTCAGTACCAAGCTGGTCATAGTGGTTCATGCCATTAATCCCAGCACTCAGGAGGTAGAGGCAGGCAGATTCCATGAGATCAAGGCCAGCCTAGTCTATGAGTGAGTTCCAGACCAGCTCAGGCTACAGGGAGACCTTGTCACAAAAAGACCAAAAAAAAAAAAAAAAACAATCAGTCCCAAGGAAAAACGAATCCAATATGATGCTGAGGTGTCCTAGTTGTGTAACTAGGAGAGAAAATGTTAGAACTGAAACACATGCTGGTTAAAACCAGAAGTTGTTTTAATCTATTATGTTCACTATCACTACTTTTCAAAGGATAACATAAAACCACTCTAGTGAACTCAACTGTCCTGGGCTACTTGGCAGTACTAGACCTTGCAAATGGAGACGCAAACTCATCCTTATTCCCTTATCCACTCACTCAGACACGCTGATAAAAATCCACCAGTTGGGCCAGTGAGATGGCTCAGTGGTAAAAGCACTAGCCTCTCAAACCTGACAACCTGAGTTTGATCCTAGAACTTGTGGTAGGAGAGAACAAACTCCCAAATTGTTCTCTGATCTCTACATTTGTGCTGTGGCATGCACATATCCACAATGAGTTTTAAAGTATATTAAAAATCACACACACACACACACACACACACACACACACGTGTACACACACATGCACAGTAATAATTATTCTTTTAAAAAAAAAAAATCAATGAAGGCCAGGTGTGGTGGTGCACGCCTGTAGTCCCAAGCACTTGGGAGGCAGAGGCAGGTGGATCTCTGTGAGTTCAAGGCCAGTCTGGTCTACATAGTGAGTTCTAGGACAGCTGGGGCTACAGTGAGACCCTGCTTCAAAAACACACACACAAAAAAAGAATCAATGAAGCCATACATACAACTGGAATCCAAGCATGTGGGAGGCTGAGACAAGAAGATCATGAGTTTGAAGCCAGCCAGAGCTATTACTGAGATTGTCTCAGAAAAGCAAACAAAACGAAACAAAAGGGGCCTCTGCAGAGATGGCTCAGCAGTTGAAGAACACTTTCTGTTCTTTCCGAGGACCTGGGTTCAATTCCCAGCATCTACATGGCAGCTCATAACTATCCATAACTCCAGTTTCATGGGATGTGATGCCCTCTTCTGACCTCCACAGGCATTGTACAACATCACTGTACTTACATACATGCAGACAATATACTCATACATATAAAATATAATAAACTTTTTTTTTTTTTTGTCTTTTTGAGACAGGGTCTCCCTGTAGCCCCAGCTGTCCTGGAACTCACTATATAGACCAGGCTGGTCTTGAACTCACAAAAATCCGCCTGCCTCTGCCTCCCCAGTGCTGGGATTAAAGGTGTGTACCACCACGCCCGGCAATAAACATTTTTTTTAATTTAAACAAAACAAGAAACCAGTCAGATATGGTGGCTTACACTTATCCCAGGACTTGGAAGGCTGAGGAAGGATTGCTTTAAGTTTGAAGTCAGCTACATATTAAGACCCTATCTTGGGACTAGAGAGATGGCTCAGCAGTTAAGAGCACTGGTTGTTCTTTCAGAGGACATGGGTTCGATTCCCAGTATCCACATGGTGGTAAACAACAGTCCCTAACTCCAGTTCCAGGGGAATCCAATGCTCTCTCTGACATCTGTGGGCACTGCACAATACAGTATACTTACATGCAAGCAATACACTCATACACATAAAAAGACCCTGTCTCAACAAACCAAAAAAACAAAAAATTTAAAACTCAGAAATATTATACTACCTTACAAAGGGAAATATCTATACTGTACTAATTCAAATGAAAGAGCTTTCCTTTCTTATTCCTGAACCAAGAAGTTGCAGAGGACTTGAGAGATGGTGAAGCAGGGATGAATCATAAAGAGATAAAGAGGGTTACAGACAACTCCTGCTGAGACAGGAGGATGATGAGCCCTTAGATAGCCTTTCAGAACTGTGTGAGAACATGGAGCCCTAGAGGGCCTTTTGTGCAAGAATGAGGAAGCCTTTGGATGGGGCAAGACTAAAATCTCTCCCACTGAGAGGTCCAGTAACTAGAAGGCAAGACCTAAGTACTAGTCTTTGGGCCCACCCAGACTTCCAATATTCCAATCCCACCCAATTTCTGGGTCACAGGCCATCAAGCAAGCAAATGTGGCTCCCACTGCTGGCTGGGGAGGGGAACGCATACTCACACGCTGTTAATGATCTTGATGAAGATGCTGCAGTCCTGGAGCTGTAGCACAGTTTCTACTGGGTCAGCCACACGCAGACTGTTAACCTGTAAGCCAAAGGGAAGATCCTGGTGAGGATACTTACAATGCTAGACCCTTGTACTTTACTCCTTTGCCCAGGTGCTTGCACCTCTCAGCTCACTGTGAGTGCTCACAGTTGTAGGTATAGGAATAAAGGGGCAGATGCCCTTAAACTCTTGATCCTCCTGCTCCAGCTTCCAAAGTGCTGAGATTACAGGGATGTGCTATGTTACACAAGGCTGCCAGGCCAGGACTTCAACATTTTTAATCTATGTTCACTCACCCAGTGTATGCTCACAGCATACCTGAAGCAAATCATGTTTCCACCAATAAAACCTTTCTTTTTTGTTTTTGTTTTTTTTTGTTTTGAGGCAGGGTCTCCCTGTAGCCTCAACTGTCCTGGAACTTACTAGGTAGAACAGGCTGGCCCCGAACTCAAGAGATTCATCTGCCTCTGCCTCCCAAGTGCTGGGATTAAAGGCGTGTGCCACCACCATCCAATAAAAGCTTTCTTAAGATTCCCTAATACCCAAACCATGCCTAAATATAACTACATAAAATGGAAGGACCTAGGGCTGGCAAGATGGCTCAGCGGGTAAATGTATCTGCTGCCAAGCCTGACGACCTGAGTTTGATCCCCAAAGGAGAGAACTGACTCCCACAAGCTGTCCTCTGATTTCCACATGTGCACAATGGCCCTTACACTGGCCCACCACACACGTAAAATAAAATGTAACAACAAAAAAAATTTAATGTTAAGATCTACAAGAAAAGGCACCAGTGTTGCCTAGAAAGAGAAACCTATGGAAAAGATTTTTTACAGTATAGTACTTTATATATTGTTTTTTGTTAATAACTTTTACATGTATGAGTATATATGAATATAAAATTTTGTTATTAGTGTATTTAAAAAAATTATTTCCAGGCTGGGCGTGGTGGTGCATGCCTTTAGTCCCAGCACTTGGGAGGCAGAGGCAGATCTCTGTGAGTTCCAAGCCAGCTGGGGCTACACAGAGACCTTAAAATAAAATAAAATAAAATAAAATAAAATAAAATAAAATAAAATAATTTCCAGGTCTGGCAAGATGGTTCAGCAAGTGAAGGTGCTTGCCACCAATCCAGCCATCTCTGGAACTCACATGATGAAAGGCAAGAACTCCTGAAAGTTATTCTCCATGTATATGCATATACACAGATACACACATGCACACACATACACAATATTAAATAAATAAATGTAAAAAATAAAGTCTGTGAAAAAACAAACCTCTGTCTGAGAGGAGGGAGAAACAATGAAAGGTCAAAGTAAGTTTTTTAATTTTTATTATTATTAAATCTTACCATTTTTATTTTATATGAGTATATTGCCTGCATGTATGCAAGTGTACCCATGTTGTGTAATGCCTGTGGAGATCAGAAGACAATGCTGGATTCCCCTGGAGCAGGAGTTATGGATGGTTGTTAGTTGCCATGTGGGTGCTGGGAATCAAACACGGGTCCCCTGCAAGAGCAGCCAGTACTCTTAACTGCTGAGCCATCTCTCCAGTCTGATAGTAGGTTGTTGTTGTTTGTTTTTAAATATTTTATTATTTTTATTTTATGAGTATGAGTGTATTGCCTGCATGTAGGTAAGTGCACCTGTGTCGTGCAATGCCCAAGGTGGACAGAGGCAGCTGTCGGATCCACTGGAACTGGTGTTATGGACAGTTAGCTGCCATATGGGTGCTGGGATTCAAACCTGGGTCTTCTGAAAGAACAACCAGTGTTCTTAACCACTGAGCCATCTCTCCAGTCCTTTTTTTTTCTTTTTAAGGGAGAAAGGAAAAGAGTGGGAGACTGGCAAAGTTCTCAATTCTGATCCAAATACCTATTCCTTTTCTTTGGCTTCAGACAACCACCCAGTCTTTGACTAGAAAAGTCACCAGGGTCACACGTAAATATTTCAAGTACACAGGATATAAACAACATATATAGTTAACTTCTCCAGGAAAACCTGTGAATAAATTTCACAGGCACCTAGGGGACCCACAATTATCTCTTTATTACCACAGGAAAGTGGGATTTTCCAGTTACATATGCAGCACGAGGATGGGCAAAAGACAAAGCCCACTTTAAAAAGAGATGATTTTTAAGAATTTAGGAAGTGGTTACACACAAAGAACTGGACTCTATAGCTTAGAAACGTGTTGTTATAAAAAGCACTGGGAGGAACAGGAGGTGGGTGGTGCACATCTTTAATCCCAGCACTCAGCACTCAGGAGGCAGAGGCAGGCGGATCTCTGTGAGTTCAAGTCTAGCCTGGTCTACACAGTGAGTTCCAGGTTAGCTGAGGCTACAAGGAGACCCTGTCTCAAAAAAAGACCAAAAAAAAAATTTAAAATTAAAATAAAAACATGAGCCAGGTGTGATAGCGCATGCCTTTAATCCCAGGACTTGGGAGGCAGAGGCAGGCAGATCTTTGTGAGTTTGAGGCCAGCCTGGTCTACTGTTGCGGTCCTTGATCCATTTGGAGTTGAATTTTTTGTAGGTTGAAAGCTAAGAGATGTCATTTAAATCTTTTATATGTAGCTATCCAGTTTGACTAGCACTGTCAGTTGAACATGCTCATGTCTTTTCTCCAATGTGTGTTTTTGGATCCTTTTACAAAACTCAAATGACTCTGAGCTGGAGTGATTGCCCAGCAGTGAGGAACACTGGCTGCTTTTGTCGAAGACTGGAGTTTGGTTCCCAATACCCACATGGCAGGTAAAATTTGTAACTCTAGTTCTAAGGGATCTTATGTTGTTTTCTGGTTTGGGGAAGGCATTATACAAAAATGGAGGCACTTACGTACATGTATAAAAACACCCACAAACAAAAAAGACTAAATAAATAAATAAATAAATAAATAAATAAATAAATAAATAAATAAATAAATAAATAAATAGGCAATGTCTTTTTTTTTAATTTATTTTTAGTGTATGAGTGTTTTGCCAGAAAGCATGTTTGTGCACCATGTGCATGCAGTGCCTGAGGCTGTTGGATCCCCTGGAACTGGAGTTAAATGGTTGTTAGTTGCTGGGAACTGAACCTGGGTCCTCTGCAAGAACAGCAGGTGCTCTTAACTGCTCAGCCATCTCTCTAGCCCCTTAAAGGCAATCTGTCTTACACAAGCTGGTGAGAATGTGGGGAAATGGCGATCCTTTTTTTAAAGACTGGCCAGCCTGGAACTAACTATGTAGACCAGGCTGGCCTTGAACTCACAGAGATCTGCCTGCTTCTGCTTCCCAAGTGCTGGAATTAAGGTGTGTACCACTATGCTTGGCAATGGAAAGAGCAATCTTTTTAAAAAAAATTTAAATTTATTTTTACTTTATGTGTATGAGTGTTTCGCCTGCATGTGTGTATGTGTACCTCATGTGTGACTGGTGCCCAGAGAGGCCAGAAAAGGACAATGGATCCCCTGGAACTAGAGTTACAAATGGCTGTGAGCTGCCATGTGGGTGCTAGGAATTGAACCCAGGTCTTCTACTAGAGCAGCCGATGTTCTTAACCACTGAGCCATCAATCCAGCCCCCGAAAGAACAATATATTTATATACTGTTGGTAATGTAAATTGATAATGCCACTATGGAAATCAGTATGAAGATTCCTCAAAAAAAATTTAAAAATAGAACTACTGTAAGATCCAGCTACAGACTCTTGAATAAACATGCAAAGAAGTCTAAGTCAGTAGTATAATAAAGAGGTACTTGTGCATCCATGTTCATTACAGCATATGCACATTATGCCAAGAAATAAAATGAGCCTAGATACCCACCCATTCACAGATGAAGGGAATGCAGTACATATACACAATGGAGTTTTATTATTGTAAAAAAATAATTAAATTACATAATTTACAAGAAAATGAATGGGGGCGCTGGAGAGATGGTTCAGTGGTTGGGAGCACTAACTGCTCTTGCAGAAAACCTGGGTTTGATTCCCAGTACCCATATGGCAGCTGGTAGCCACCTGTAACTCCAGTTCCAGGGGATCTGACACCTTCTTCTGATCTCCATGGGCATTACATGACATATAGGTGCGCTTACACACATGCAGGCAATACATTCATACATATAAAAATAAAGCCGGGCGTGGTGGCGCACATTTTTAATCCCAGCACTCGGGAGGCAGAGGCAGGAGGATCTTTGTGAGTTCGAGGCCAGCCTGGTCTACATAGTGAGTTCCAGGATAGCTAAGGCTACAAGGAGACCCTGTCTCAAAAAGACAAAAAATAAAATAAAATAAAATAAATATTTTTTTTAAAAAAAGAAAAAATGAATGGAACTGGAGATCATCACATTAGGTACTATAAGCCAGACTCAGAAAGGCAAGTATCACATAGCAAAATAGGCCTGACTCAGAAATAAATAGTGCATGTTTTCTTTCATATTGCATAACCTAAATTTATGAGTGTGTATGACTGACATGCAAGTAGAAAGGAGACTACATGGGATGAGTAGAAGTCTAAGGAAGAAGAGGAATGAGAGGGTAGGAGGGTGTAAAGGGGAAATATCACATTTTCTCTCGTATGTGGCTATAGAATTAATATGTGTGTGATGGGGGCTGGAGTGATGGCCCAGCAGTTAAGAACACTGGTGGTTGCTCTTGCAGAGGACCCACGTTAGGTTCCCAGCACCCACAAGGCAGATCCTAACTGTCTCTAACTCCAGTTCCAGGGGGATCCAACGCCCACTTCTGACCTCTGTCAGCACCAGGGATGCATATGGTGCACAAACACACATGCTGGCAAACACTCATACGATAAAAAAACAAAGTTGTGATGAAGGCAGAAGGAGGTCTACTTATGGGATAGAAGATGACCAGCAAGACCAAGGAGAAACAGGAGAGACAAACAAGAGGAAAGTACAACAGTAAATATGTATGAAAATAGCAAAGTGAAACCCTTTATTTTGTATGCAACTAAAAAATTAAAATAAAAAGTAACATATCTTATTAAATCCCTTTAAGCCAGGTGTGGTGGCTGTGTTAGTACCAGCCCTCAGAAGGAAGGCATATCTCTGTGAGTTAGAGGCTAACCTGGTCTACATAGGGAGTTCCAGGCCAGGACTACAGGAAGACTGTCTCAAAAACAACCAACTCACCAAACAAGCAAACAACAAAATTCAAACTGGGCAGAGAGATGGCTCAGCAGTCAAGAATACATTCTACTCCTGCAAAAGACCTGAGTTCAGTTCCTAACACAACCACCTGTAACTCCAACTCCAGGGGGTCCAACACCTCTGACCTCTATGAGTAAGGGCACATGCACTCATACAGACACATAATTAAAAATAAAGAAAAGCAGAGACTGCAGAGATGGTTCAGTGGTTAAGAGCACTGGCTGCTCTTGCAAAGGACCTGGGCTCAGTTCCCAGCACCCACATGGTGGCTAACAACCATCTGTAACCCTAGTTTCAGAGGACCCAACGCCCTTTTCTAGCCTCCATGGGCACTATACAACATGGATGCACTTATTTACAAGCACACAAAACACTCATACACATAAAATTAAAAACATTTTGAGGGAGAGTGGAGGGATGGCTCAGCAGTTAAGAACACTGGCTGTTCTTGCAGAGGACCCAGGTTTGTAACCCAGCACCCACATGGCAGCTAACAACCATCCAAAACTTCAATTCCAGGGGCTCTGGCACCCTCTTCTGACCTCTGTGGGTACTGCACGACACAGGCACACATATGTGCAGGCATAACTCATACACATAAAATAAAAATAATGATAAAATATATTTTTTAAAAATTTTGGCTGGGCGTGGTGGCGCACACCTTTAATCCCAGCACTCGGGAGGCAGAGGCAGGCAGATTTCTGTGAGTTCCAGCCTGGTCTACATAGTGAGTACACGTCTTTTGTTGATATCACAAATGAATATGTTGATTAGGATCTTCCCTCTGATATCTTGGCATTGGGGGGGGGGCGGGGCCTGGAGAGATAGCTCAGTGGTTAAGAGCACTGGCTACTCTTGCAGAAGACCCGGGTTCAAATCCTGGCACCCACATGCTAACGAGACTGTGACTCCAGTTCCAGGGGATCTGACTTCCTCTTCTAACCTCTGCAGGCACTGTCTGACATAGGTGCACTTATATACATATCGGCAATACATTCATACAAACATCTTAAAAAAAAAAAGTTGTCAACCAAGTGTGGTAGCACATACTGCTGTGAATTTGAAGCCAGTGTAGGCTACAAACAATGTGACCCTGTCTCAAAAACGAGCTACATAGTAAGGTTTTATCTCAAAAAAAAAAAAAAAAAAAAAAAAAAAAAAAAAAAGCTGGTCTGATTATTCAGTACTCAGGGTAAAAACTGAAATGTCCCATGCCAATTAATACACACATGCAATATGTTAAGTATCCAGAACACAATATTCATTGAGACATTTTGTTTTTGTGTTTTGTGCACTCTTTTACATCCATCAGACTGCTCTCATGATACCCCACTTTACAAATTCGATGCTGAGAAGCTGGCTTGCTCTAGTAACAAAGAGATCAGAGCTGTGATTTGAAGCTAAATGTCTTGATTCTAAGAACTATGTTCACTGTCACAGTATTCTGTGGCCTCTTCTGTTTTTATGATTGGTTGGTTGGTTTTAGGTTTGGGTTTTTTTTTGTCCTAATTTTTATTTATTTATTTAATGCATATGAGTGTTTTGTCTCCATTTATGTAAGTGCACTCATATCACGCAATGGGTGCACAGAGGCCAGAAGAAGGTGTCCGATCCCCTGGAACTGGAACTATAGATGGTTGTGGGTGCTCCGCAAGAACAGTCAGTGCTCTTAACCACTCAGCCATCTCTTCAGTTCTTGGTTTTTTTGTTTCATTTTGTTTGTTTTTTTAAGGCAAGGTCTTGCTATGTAGCCCAGGTTGACCTCAAATTCACAGTAATTCTGCCTCAGCCCAGCAAGTGCCACCAGGCCTGGCTTTGTTTGTAATTTTAAATGCCCAATGCTTGGTATTTTCTTATTTGTCACTGTCTCAAGAGGAAAATGTACAAAAAGACCTAACAGAAGGATTTTGGTTAAGTAATCAAGAAAGTAAAAGGGTCCAGCAAACCACAGCGGTGACCTTTGGAACCCCTGTCATCATGTGTCAAGGAGCCTGGGGTCTACAGCATGGGCACTGTGCTGGCACCCTGCCACCACAGCCCTGGGCGCTGAGTGCTACTGCTACCTGTGTGTTGCACACCAGACCTGCTCTGTTCTCAGTGTGTAAACTCACAGAGAAACATGAATAAAACAGTAAGAACCAGCAATTTTGCATGGGAAGCCTTGTTGAGACATTTAGTGTAGTCTACCTGAAGCTGGAACAAAATGGAAAAGCAAGATGAGTTTGGTGCTTTGGAAAGTGTGAAGGCTGCTTTTGAACTCTATCTTCCTCCATCAGGAGAGGCAACAGCTTAATGAAGCACTTGCAGAAAACCCAGGGCTCATCAACACATCCTGTTATGAAGATAGCTGGCTGATCAAGATGATACTGAGCAACTATTCAGAACTGAGTGAACTAATGAGTGAAGAAGCTGTGAGAAACTGACATCCACTGAGGAGTGAACATGACGCCCCCCCCGCCACCCCGCGAATAAACCAGTGAGAAGTAACTTGCTCAGCATAGTCGTCTTGAATTACTGGTGAATGTAAGATTTTAAATAACTTCTAGCAATGCCAATGGAAAAGAAACTACCCTTAACACTGCTACTGGAAGAAAATTCCCCTCAGCTGCCTAATGGCTGCATATAAACACATGTAACTAGACTAGGTGTTTAGGGGCTAAGCTCTGGTATTCAGAATTCATGAGATTATCTATAGCAAAAAGCACTTATAAGAATCCTGTATTCCAGCAGGGCATGGTGGCACATGCCTTTGATCCCAGCACTTGGGAGGCAGAGCAGGCAGATCTCTGAGTTCAAGGCCAGCCTGGTCTACACAGCAAGTTCCAGGCCAGATGGGGCTATAGGGAGACCCTGTCTCAATAACGAACAACAACCAAAGAATTCTGTATTTTAGGATAAAAATGCAACCATAAGTCTCATATAATACTGTAACTTCCTTACTATCTCTGTCCCTGAAAACTGAGGTCAGACTTAATGATCTTCCTACTGAGAATGCCTAAGACAGCAGGAGGGTGTGTGTTGTACAGTGTTAGATGAAGGACAATACTGTCTTAATTTTACAATATACTGTACTGAGTGGTTCTGTTTTTACACAGTGAGCAACAGCTTTGTAGCACAGTAAGAAACAAATCAAATACCCTCTTTATTTAAAAAACAAGGTACCACAACAATAGAATCATGACAAAAACATAGTAAAGTCAGTGAGGAGAACCTTGTCCCAAGATTAGGCTTTTGAAGACCAAAGTCCCTGTCAATGTTGCTCATTACAGTTCAGTCTTAGCTGGGCATGGTGGCATACACCTTTGATCCCAGCACTAGGGATGCAGAGGCAGGTGGATCTCTGTAAATTCAAGGCCAGCCTGGTCTACATAGTGAGTTCCAGGCCAGCTGGGCCTACAGGGAGACCCTGTCTCCAAATAAATAAATAAATAAATAAATAAATAAATAAATAAATAAAGTATACAGTAAACAAATGAGGGTAGATTCATACAATGTTCCAATGTCCTGTTACTGTCAGCAGCAGTGTCTTTGGCAATATGCAAAGTTCTTGGTCTGCAAATGAGAAGCCTTTGAAGAGCCCTGGCTCCTAGAATGCTCTTCTGCAGCTTCCTGGAGAAGACAGCAGATAAAGGAAGCAAGACTACTCACCCAAGAGAGGAGCGCAGCTGCCCGGGTGGTGTGGAGTGTCATCTTGGTGATCCCAGTCAGTCACCCCAACGTACCTGGAACACAAGAAAGGACGGATGGTTAATCAAATCAGAGATCCAGGATCAAGGAGTAGGAGTAGAGGGAAAACAGTTCCATCTGTCAGCTCTGAACACTTCAACAAATCATTTACACTTAATCCACTGAGGCAGCATGGGAGTTTTGAGCCCAGAGTTTACATGTAAATTACTATAAAGCTTGTCATGTCAGGGCTGACTACAAAGAATCTTGCATTCAACTGAATACTCATAAGCACCATACACAATCAATCAGCTGATAAAAACAAAAAAACACAATATTCACAGTTGATCTGCAGTCCTGCTCTTTTGAGGAGGATCCCTTAAAACACAGAACAACATAGTTTTATAAACAGGCCAGGATTTGAATACTGATTCCATGTGACTTTAGATAATTAACATAACTTCTTTAGTCTCAGTTTCTTCATCTGCAAAATGGATCCATATAGACTTCTCTGGCTTACTGTGGTCATTAAAGATAATGCAAATAGCACGGTCCCCGGCACATAGTAGGCATTCAATAAATGATCACTGCTCTTAAGCAAAAAAAAAAATTATTTCTGGCTCTGCTTAACAAACCAAGTCCTTGGAAAAACCATTCTATATTCTGAATTTTTATTTTTTTGGTCTTTTTGAGACAGGGTCTCCCTGTAGCCCCAGCTGTCCTGGAACTCACAATATAGACCAGGCTGGCTTCGAACTCACAAAGATCCGCCTGCCTCTGCCTCCCAAGTGCAGGGATTAAAGGCGTGCGCCACCACGCCCGGCTATATTCTGAATTTTTAAAGATATATGGTTCAAATGGAGGAATTTGGCATATCTAAGCCAAGATAAGACCAACTCTGGAAGAGCTCATTTTGCAAGGAAATGTGCGTATGTGTGCCCAGGTGTATTTGCCTGTGTGTGTGTAGGTCAGAGGTTGACGGTTGGGTATCTTCTCTCTCTCCACCTTATTTTTTGAGACAGGGTCTCTCATTAATCCGGAGCTGGCCATTTGGGCTAGACTGGCTGGTTGGCCAATGAGGTCTCAGATCTGCCTGTCTCCACTTCCCCAATGCTAGGGTTAAAGAGCAAGTCACCATACCTAGCTTTTAAGTGCGTACAGGTGATCTAAACTCAGGTCCATATACATGTATAGCAAGCACTTTGCCCGCTGAGCTATCTCCCCAGTCTCCATAGGAAATGTTTAATGTAAGATCAGGCACTTGTCCTGGTATTCTTGCCCCCAATTCCCTTTACCATCAGAAATCTGACATCTGCTGCCAAGAGACCCATGGGATCACAGATCTGATGAGTAAATATTCCCCAGCACCTCACAGTTCCCACAATCTCCCAGGGAACAATCAGCTGTTCCCTCCAGCTCCTGCCACAGTTGCCCAGTATGTCACTACTTTAGGAGGTGAAACAAGAGCAGAAAGGGCCACTTCACCTATAAGTCTCCACAAATAATAGTATCTCCAACATGTAGGGTCTGTGCTTTCTATATGTAAGGTATCGGGATTAAAGAGACCATTTTTTTCCCATAAAGTACTCACTGTGAGGTAAAGAGAAAAAGATTGATAATCTGATAACTCACTCCCCCATCATCACTTAGAACTGCCTAACTAAGTGTGTTCTATTTATCAACCAACCAAAAAGAGTTTGCATAGTCCCTACACAAGTTCTTCCTGTCCTGGAAGCTATATGGGAAACAGATGACATTGATGACATTTGCTGCCTTTCAGCAGTTTAGAGCTGGGTGAGGAGTAAAAGTAAATACACCTGTATCACTAATAGAAGAAAACAAATGCTAACTATAAGCTAAGTGTAGTGGCACATGCCTTTAGTCCCAGCACTTGGGAGACAAAGGCAGGCAGATCTCTTTCGAGCTCAAGGTCAGCCTGGTCTACATAGTGAGTTCCAGGTCAGCTGGGACTACTGGGAGATGCTGTCTCAAAAAAGACTAAAAAAAACTACAACCACAAAAAAACTGCTAACTATAAGTAAACGCTAAGTATAACTAAGAGCTTCTTGTTCCTGCAGAACCCAACGTGATGCCACTTATCATGGCAGTATCACAGTCTTAAACTAATCAATTCACCTAGGCTTTGGTGGGAACACGTAAAATGGTCTCAAGAGAGCAGAGAAACTAAGGGGCCCATGTGTTCCTCAATCCTGGATGACTTTCCTCAGGTATGGTCTGTCTACAGTCTCTGATTAACTGCCCAGCCCTTAGTGCCAAGCTAAGATGACTTCAACTAGTGCATTGAAATGAGGCTTTTTTGACCTCTGGACAGCCTACAGCCAGAGACCATGTTCAGCCTGTAGGATGAAGGTAGCAAGAGTCAACTACTCAACTGCAATATCTTTCCATCTTATGTGTATAAGTGTATTGCCTGCATGTATGTAAGTGCATTCGTGTGTCATGCAATACCTGCAGAGGTCAGATTCCCCTGGAACTGGAGTTATGAACAGTTGTTAGTTGCCATGTGGGCGCTGGGACTCAAACCCAGATCCTTTGCAAGAGAAGTCAGTAGTCTTAACCTCTGAGCCATCTTTCCAGTCCCTGCAGTATAATTTTTTAAAAAGTCAATGCATGCTGGGCTACGTTTATAGCTCAGTGATAGAAAGCTTGCCGAACCTGTGCAAATTGGATCCTAGATCCAATTTACAGCACTGCATTAAAAAAAGTCTCATTTGGCATGGTGGCACACGCCTTTCGTCCCAGCACTCGGGAGGCAGAGGCAGGCAGATCTTTGTGAGATTGAGCCCAGCCTGATCTACATAGAGTTCCAGGCCAGCTGGGAGCTGGGGCTACAGGGAGACCCTGTCTTAAAAAGACCCCAGGCCAGCTGGGGTTACAGGGAAAAAAAAAAAAAAAAAAAAAAAAAAAATCAAAAAGACAAAAACAAAAAAGACAACAACAACAACAAAAGGCTCTGCAATATTCACCAGTAAGGGAAATGTGGCCCAGTCTTCTGCCCCCATCTTCACTGCTCAGAGATTTTATTTGCAACAGGAGGTAGATTCTGCCCCCTCTGAGAGATTCCACAGCTGTACCGCTAAAAATGACCTGAGATTTAAGTAAGCAACATTTTTCCTTCATCGCAGGGGCAAGAACATATAACCCCAGGAGAACCTGTCTAAAATGAATTCACTGCCCAAGAAAACTTGTGTCAAGGCCAAATTTCTCTTTTCATGCTCCTAGGGCACAGAAATAGGAATCCAATATTCAACATGAGAAACTCCTGAAACATATTGACATCAAAGCCCACAAAGGGTACCCCCTCAAGATACCAGAGTGTGGTTTTAGCAAAGTAAAGCCACTGGCTGGTGGTGACGGCTTCACTGAGTGACAAATGATTGAAACCACTGGCATAGACAATGCTAAGCACTAGGACTACAGCTTTAAGCAGGCCCTGGAGTGGAAGCCAAGGGCACTCAGCCAGAGCACCATCCTCTCCACCCTCCCCCTGAAATCTGACGCAGGCCCCACCCATAAGACTGAGTGATGGTGATGGAAAAACAGATCCCTACAATTGTAGCCTCCTTGAACCATTTCTGAGATCCACCCCAACTCAATGTGATCAGTCACTCTCAGAACACATAAACACATACACTCAAAAGCAAATCCCAGGACTTAGGACAAGCCCCCTGAGGGCATCCTCAAAGCTCCCACATACCTAGTTCTTTGAAAACAAAATGTACCCAGAATCCAAAAGTGAGCTTTTCAAAGCTGATAAAATACCCTCCTTTTCCCAGGTCCAAGGAAGACAAGGGCACAGAAGCAGTGGCTGTGTAAACTTATACCCTCTTAACGTTTCCCAAGCTGCCATAATACAGCTCTCGATATCATGACCAATTTTCACACTTATAGGAAATCCTCTGTTTCCACAAAAGATATATCAGAACAAGGAAAGTGTCACTCAAGAAATGTGCTGCCACCTGGCCTGCACTCTCTGGATCTGAAGGAGTTAAAGACTAGCCATGATTTCCTACCAAGGCTAATGCTAATGTAAACCACCTGCCCAGATGCAAGGACCAGACCAGAGGGGTCAGGCTGCTGAGCTCTGGGGTCTGGACTGAAAAGACTGCAGTTTTAGGAGACCAAAGTGATAGGCTAGAGGGTCTGAGTGGCGGCAGCACTCCTCCCATGCTCCACCTCCAGTCTGGGTGCCAGCTCTCTAGATAGTGCATCTTAGCAGTACTACCCACCTGGACACCACCTTCCCACCAGATAACACCAAAGTGACCTTTGTTCTAGAGAGCTGCTAACTAGTCCTAACTCTCGGCTCATGGGCCCCTGCCTTCACTGAACCCTCATTCTTTTACTACTAACTCCTACTCCCAGAATTTCAGGGCCACACAAGCTCTGCCTCAAGGGGTCATTTCTAAGACCCCAACCCCCTTTCTACTAGATGGTTGGTTACAAAGGCCCAGAGACTCACAGCTAAGAAAATGGCTGCCTCATCTATGTGCCCAAGCTCACAGACAAAACTTACCAACACTTACCCTGAGAGCCTCCCAGGCTGTAGCTGTAAAAATTCCATCCATGCTCTTGTACTCTAAAAGAGCTACTACCCCTTCATCTGAGCAACATCTGCATCCAGTGAACACTGGGATCTTGGAGCTCCTTCTCCTCCTCCTCTGGGAGGAGTATATCAAGAGACACAGACAAGCAACCACTCAGACCTTACCTGGTAGAGGCCCAGGAAAGGCCAAGCTATCTTGCTATATGCTAATTCATCACACAAAGGCTGAGACAGGATTGCTTGAACCCAGTCTTAAAACAAACCTATCTTGCTGGTGTATCCCCTGACTTAGTGAAGGTAAAAGGCCAAAGGACCAGCTACTCCGTGAGAGAGAAGAAAACAATCTTTTTTTCTAGTGGTCTGGGAGGTGGGGGCAGGGAAGTCCCGAGTAGGTTATGACGTCCAAGCCTTAAAAAAAGTTGTACTTCTAAAGTCAGAGGCAAACCGGTTTGCTAGAAGTATTCTCTGCTTCCTCTAAGGGTCTAATTTTGGATTCAGGTCTCCCCCTCTTCACACACACCACACCCTTTGTAGTTTGACCCAGATCCCTGAGGCATTGAAAAGGAACAAGGGGCAGACTACAGGGAAAACCTACATTCCTTGGTTTCTTCAAAAAGAACTTACTAGTTGGGGGTGTTGACTCACGCTTATAATGCCAGCACTTGGAGACTGAGGCAGGAGGATGGCTCCGAGGTCTAGGCCAGCCATGGCCACACAGCAAGAAGAAAAGAAAGTATCTTACTGACATCCATTCCTTTATCCCCATCCTCAGTAGGGTCCAGATCTCCAGGATGTGTGCAGAAAGGTTGCAATCCTGAACTAGAACAGGGGCCTGCAGTCAAATAGTGTGTGAAGAGCCCGCGCATGCGCACACAAAGGGCCCACTGGCGCACCAACCCCCGCACCACGGCATTCACACACCCGAACCCCGGCAGCTGACAAAAATGAACCCGTTTTCATTGCCCACCGCTGCAAACACACCTAGGACCACACAAGGGAATGGGAAAGCCCTCTGCGGGCCGTCTCTACAGCCCTAGGCCGGGCGCCACACGCTTCTCCCTCCGAACAAAAACACGCTGACATCTATGAGCACCAGCCTTCGCGCTGAAGTCGCCAACACCCGGATGTTGGCAAGCTCAGCTCCCTGCGCCTGTTTCTCAGTGTGTTTACTTGCTCTCCCTCTCCTCTCCCTCCCCTTTATGGATGGCGCAGGAAAGGGAGGTGAGGGGGAAGAATCCACCCCACCCCCTCGTCCATGTTTGAACAAAACCCAGAGAAAGAGTGGGCGAGAAAAAGTCTCAGTGCAGGGGGCCTTACCGGACTCCCAAAGCCAAACGTATCTACAGGTTTTAATCCGTCATTAGCATTTAAATCTTGAAAGGACAGAAGGGAGGGGGCAGTGGAAAGTAACCCCACACACAAAAGAAAAGTTGTTGGGTTTCTCCTCAGTCAGCCTGGCAGGAGCGATCTTCCTGGCTGACAGCCAGAAGTGCGTCACAGCCAGGAGTCTGCTTTCTTTAAAGGCACAGCGAGCTTCCGCGCAGCCCCGGAGACACCGCCTGGCCAGCAGCTCTGGGGGAGGGGGCGAAGCTTGCGGGTCCCAACACGGAGCAAGACGCGGGGCGGCGGGCACAGTCCTGCAGGGCGAGCGCGGCCCGGGCCGTCGGATGGCGGCGTCCACACAAAGCGCCCCCACAGCAGCGGCCTCACCAACCTGAGAGGGTGGGACACTCCCCCCTTCGCTCCTTTCCACCCAGGGCTCGGGGCAGCAGGGCTGGCCTGTCGTCTGAGACCAGCCCAGCCGGCCAACCAGGGTGAAAGTTCCGGCTCTAGCTGCAGCGAGGCGCAGAGGCGCCATGCAGGCCTTATACCCGACAGCTTCCTGCAGCCCCTGTGGTGCGCGGGCGTGTCTGCGCACACTGCAGCCCGCCTGCGCCGCTGCACACAAAGCGCCGGCTTTCCAGCACCGCCGCATGCCCGGGACATGGCCACCCCAGCCCACTTCCACGCGGGAATCCTTCGGCCCATACCTTCTGCGTGGCAAGGCCAGGATGTGGCGCTGTGCCCGCTCCTCCCCCTCGGCCACCCAAACAAGCAGTCCAGGCAGATTCTGGCCCTGGAGTGCAGGCCTGCGCGGTCCCGTCCCGGTGGCTGCGCTATTGTCGACTGTGGAATGGCCGCCAAAATCCCAGCTGTGCTGCCAGAACCTAATCCCCTGTTCCGCTGAGCATTTGTGGGGAGGGGCTGAGGGGCCAAGGCACGGGACTGAGTACCGCAGGCTCTGAGTGGAGCCCTGAATTGGCCAGGCATAGGGACCCATAGGCAGAATCTACTCCAACTACATGGCTAAAAGGAAACATGTCTGACTCTTAGACAAACCACCGCGGCATTTCCACCCACCGGACAGTCACCTTCGCAAAGCCACTGGGAAAGCCCACCAGATAGTTAAAAGGAACCCCCTAATTTTACAGCTAGAAACATGTACTGAGCAATGTGCAAGGTACACAAGAGGATTGTAGGGAGCAACCAAGGATGAATTAACAGCCTCTGGGGTAGGGTTGTAATTCCATAAATCAGAAATGGCCTCAAAACTTGTACTTCAGGACAATACATGCTAAGTCCTACAAAAGATGCAAAGAAAAATTCTAACCAGTGGACAGTAGGAAAGGATTAAGAAAATAAAGTAGTACTTTAATTTGGATCTCAAAGCACAAAAGCAAAAATTTTCTCAACGGAAAGGGAGAAGTGGGGAGGAGAAAGAAAAGTGGCTCCAAGGATTTTCAGATTGGAAAATCTTGAATCAAAGAGTCCAAGAAAGGTTTAAAGTTTGTTTTTAAGAGCTGTGGTATGGGAGCTGTGTGCCAAGTTTATTCTGGTAAGTAACTGTCTAGCAGCAAGATGGATTAGGAGGCTGCCCCAATGGGCAGGAGAGGTACTGAGGACACAGAAGGTAGAGTAAGCGACAGAAAGGGGAATATTGGGGAATATTCGACAAGCATTGAGGAGACAGGTAAAGGACTGACAGAAAGCAGGGGAAAACCTGGTCATGTGGTACACACTTAAAATCCCAGCAGTCAGGAGGCAGGGGCCGGAGGCAAGTTCAAGACCAGTCTGGTCTACTTCATTGAGTTCCAGGCTAACCAAAGCAAAAACTGAGGGGGGGGGGGGGCGACACCTGGAGAGATGGCTCAGTGGTTAAGAGCATGGGCTTGCTCTTGCAGAGGAGCCACGACGTTGGTTCCTAACACCCACTGGTGGTTAACAACCCTCCATAACTCCAGTTCTATGGATCTGATACTCTCTTCTGGCCTCTGTGGGCACTGCACTTAACATACATGCAGGCAAATAGAATAACATAAAAATAAATGAAAACACAGAGGAGCTGTACAGGGGAGGAAAGTATGAGGGATGACATGTGAATCAAAGGGAGGAGGTGATAAGGGTCTGAAGGAGAAATGGCATAACAAGATAGTAGCCAATGCATACTGAGTACCTTCTATTTGCTCCAGGCCAGTCTACAGAAACAATGTGAATCATTTCCTTAGGTTTAAGCACCTTCTTTATGAAGCAGGCACATTACGACCCAACCTCAAAAAAACTAAGCCACAGAGTCTGATCTGTTCCACATCACACATCTAGTAAATGGCCAAACTCATCACTTGCTAACTACATAACCCTGTAGTCTCTGAGCCTCAGATTGTAATTTGTAAAGCACAGCCACCTTTGCTATAAGGTGATGTGAATGAACTCAGTAACATTTACAAAGTGCCCAACATACTGACTAGCACATAAAGGTGCTGGAGGGTGCTTCACAAGGATTAGTTCCTATTTGGTATTTTGGTCCCTGTCACCAAAGTGTCCCACCAGAAGATGGCTTACCACTGTTGGAGAAGCTAGAATGGGTGTTCCTCCTGGTGCAAGGGATGGGACTTCAGGAAGCCTACCTTCTTTCCATCAGTCCACCTCTTGGATTTTACTTTATGGGAACACCTCAAATCCCAATTTCTCTCATATTCAGTAGTTACCAATGGTTATCTATAGGAAGATGTTAGATTGTGGGAAGACAACCACTTGAGGACTTCCTATGCTATATGTTTCTTTTGTGTTTATTTTCAAGAGAGCAAAAGGGTAAAGGCACGTGCCCTGAAGCCTGACCTGAGTTCAAGTCCTGTGATCCACATGGTAGGAGAGAACCAATTCTTCCAAGGTGTCCTCTAGAACTCCCAAAGGTTGTTCTATGATCACACTTGCACTGCAGCATGTGCATACCACACACAAATCAATTTTTAAAATAAAAATTTATAAAATAATAATGTACACTGATCAGAAAAAGTGTGCATTTCGCATTTGGTACGTGTACTACCTTATGTGTATTTGCAGGAAAGTCTTATCTTCTATCTAGAATGCCTGCTGCTTTAGGGCATACCTCATTTCCCTCTCTATGATCTGCCATAGTCCTTAGCTTACTCAGTAGGGCTCATTAAATCTGTTCCACTGAACTACATTTGGATGGCAGCTTTCCAAATACAATCTTCTGGCCACCTCTTTGTCTGTACTGAGTAGGGGAGATGAGGTGGGGTCAGATCAGTGCCCACCACTGCAGAGACACTGCTGCTCCCAGACCCTGCAGCCAGTTCTCACAGCCCCTGTGCAGCCTGTACTTAGCACATGCTATTTATTAATGGGAAGGAAAGCTATTATTCAAAGGAGTACCATAAAGGCAAAGCAGATGCTGAAAAGACAGTGGCAAATATAATTTAAAGATTGGCACAATCAACACCCCAGAAATTGTATGGGGTGAAAATAAGAGGTAGGCCTACTAAAACTATCCAGCTACACCTGCCATGGTCAGCCCTGAAACTTCACAGCTTTGACAAAACTGATACTGTATCTCTCTATCTTACCCCCTGGCTTTAAACTCAAGGCATCAGCTTCCAGTTGGGCAGCTTCAGAGGGCTTGAAATTTCTGGAGTTTCTTTGCCAAGTCATCAAGCTCTTGGGCTAACTCTACTAGCTAGTAGTACGCCTGATCAGCTTCTCCACTGCTCTCTCTTCCTTTCCTGTGCAGAGCCAAACTACCTCAGACCCTCTCAGCCTAGACAGCTCACTTGGCACACTCCTGGTTCTGCAAGCCACTCACTGCTTCAAGGAAATTAAACAGAAGTGGTAAAACAAAGATAAAAAGGGCACAGGGAGGAGGGGTGTTGGTGGCTAACACATTCAGGAGCAAGTTTTGATAGAAGTTGGAGAGGGTGTGTTCACTTAGACGCACACAGGTGTTCCAAAGGGCCTGGCAATATTCCATCTTCTAATCTGGTTGGTAGGCATTTTGGTGTTCATCTTATTATTGTTGCTTAAAATGCCAATGTTATAGGGTGGATATTAATGCATATTAATTACTATTTTTTGCAACTTAAAAGTCAGGAAGAAGGCCAGAACATAATTCTATGGTAGAGCACTTGCCTACCATGCATGAGGCCCTAGATGCAATCCTCAGTGATTGAAAAAATAAAGACAGAAAGAAGGCAGTTCCTCTGAGATAGCCCAGAATAGGGGTGATTCTAATATAAATAACTATCCTGGTATTTAAAGCCCTCCATGATCTGGCCCCAGTTTTACCTTCTAGAGTCATTTATTCCCTTATCCAAACCCTCCATCCTGCCAGGCAGGTCTGTAAAAGTTATAGATTTTCCTGGGGATTAGAAAAGATGACTGTGTAAAAAACTAGCTCTGGGGACAGACCCAAATGGGCACTAGACCAAAATTGTTGACTCCAGCACTTACTAGCTAGGTGAACTTAGGCAAGTTATTTAATCTTTCTGTTTCCTTTTCTGTAAAATAGAGATAATCACAGTATTTACCTCATTGAGCTATTATGAGAATCAAAGAAAATAAAACATGGAAACTGTTTAGCATAGTGCTGGTGCTACTAATTACAGCGGTAACAGCTACAATAATAATGATGGGCTAGGTATTTATTATGCCAGGACAACAAGTGGCAAAGAAAAGACTAGAAGGCATTGTATAAGGCTGTTTTAAAAGACGAGGAAATCTGAAGTTCACAACTTGAATGACTTATTTACATGAGCTAGTCATTTAAGTATTAAGCTACCACGATCCTACTTCTCTGTTGCCTAGAGAAGACTGTCATTGGATAAAAGCTAGTACATTCTCAACAGCTCAAAGAAACCTTGTACTTCTATCTTCTTATAAACCATCTATTTTAATTGAAACAACCAAATAGCTCTAAAACTGATTTGTTGTTTTTGAGGGTGCAAGAGCTTTGTAAACATTAAATGATCAAAACTCATCAAATGCAACAAGCATCAAAGCAAACTCTTCCCCTAGGACGGATGTTGTCACTACCTCAGGGTAAGGAGAGGCTGGAGAGAAAGGTGGTGGCAGCAGCAGGTTGAAGGGGAGGATGGTTTCACAGGTCAGACCTCCAGCTCATCTGCCACCACCCAGTTCTCCCTCTCCAGAGGG